AAAATAAGACAACCTTTTTATTATTAGTTTTAAAGAAAGGTACTGCACAGTTATGCACTGCCTTTTTTTAGATAAGATCTAAAAACTTAATTTTATATAAGGTTATCATAATTTTTTATAATCCAATATAATCCTATATAAGGTTATGATAACCTTATATAGTATGGAACTGCATGTAACATGTGTTGGAGTGATAAAGATATAATGAATAATGCAGGCATTCCTTAAATGTATAATGGGTTGGAGTGATAAACTTGTAACATTGAGTCGTAGAAATGCATTTACAGTATGCATTTAAATTAAGTATTATAAGTCTATTTTTTTCAATAATTCATTTGTAATGATGTATTTTTTCTGCCATTACTTTTTATATTTGTATTAAATTAAAAATAGCAAGTGTAAAAATGTTAAATAACAAAATTACTCTGTTAATAAACATTTTTACACTTGGATTTTTAATTTAATACTTAGTTGCTTTAGTTTGATACTTGGTTCACAATTTTTTATTATTTAATTAAATTTATATATTGTAAAAACTTAAAGGAAATGATGTATCTAAAATTTAAAAGAATAATAAAAACAAAGTTGTGAACCAACTTATAAAAATCTATTTAAAAAATCCATGAAAAAAAGTTTTTTTCTTTGAAGCATGATTTTTCAAAATTGTAATAGAACTTCTATAAAAACATTATCAAAATTTAAGAATCTTCAACACTTTTTATAACAGTTTTATAGAATTGTTTCTTAAATTCTATAATATTTATAGAAATTGTTATAGTTTCTATAGAAATTATAATAATAATGCATATAGACTATGTTTCTATAGGAACTATATGTTTCTATAGAAACTATATGTTTCTATAGAAACTATATGTTTCTATAGAAACTATATGTTTCTATAGAAACTATATGTTTCTATAGAAACTATATGTTATATAGAAACTATATGTTTTATAGAAACTATACTTGAAGAAATTTTTTAGTGTTTTTTTCAAAGTTAAAAGTTTAATATTTGCAATATAAGAAATTTGTTTTTTTGGCATGTCTGTGTATAGATGTTTTAATGACTATTTTTAATTTGTTAAGCATTAAAACCAATCTAATCACTGGTGAAAGTAGCTGTGCAAAGGTATTTCTTTAGCATTAGTATTTCTTTACTTGCAAATTTGCAGTAAAAAACACTGCAAACTTGCCAAAAAATTTTGATCATTAATAATTGGATGAAAAACAAAATAATAATTGTAAAGAGCTAAAATTTAATGTTAATTTTTTTTATGTTATGTTTATTGTAAATTAAAATTTTTTTTTTATTATATAAAAAGACTCTTAAAACAATTTTAACCAAATATTTTTAGCAATACTGAAAATAGTTTTTTTATTTTGTTACAAATGAATATTATTTTTTAAATATTTATGAAAATACTATTTTATAAGACCCAGGTTGACATACCTTTTAATAATTTTTTTGTTGAACATTAAATGGTTATGATTTGAACCCAAATATTGATGATTGATGTGATGGTAAAAAATGGATTGCGTATTTGGAATCAAAAAGAGAAATTCTATACCCAAAACATTTTTGTTGGGTTGTTATGTTTATAGTTTATTATAGTTTATAATAATTTATTATAAAATATTTTTTTATAACTGTTTATAACTACTTTGATAATAGCCAATAACTTATGGCTTTCCTTGATATTTTTCATGACACTCTCTGCATAAAAATTTTTTGAACTGATTTTTATGATCTTTGGTCACAGAACACAAAGAATTTTTGTTTAATAGGATCATAGTTTGTTTGTGGAAGTTTCATTTTATGACTTCTTTAAGCCTTGCTATCATTTTGTTTGTAGAGATTTCATTTTAACTCTATAACTTCTTTGTTTTCAGTTTGAAAAAACTTGCAATTAGTTTGTAAAATTTCAATTTAGTGAAGTGATTTAAATATTAGATAGAATAAATGTACTGTAATATTTATCAACAAATTATGATGATCTTTCCCGAAAGATTTTATTGAATAATATTTTTGTAAAATTTTGAATGTATGTAAGGATATACTTAAGGCATACTTACGATGAAGTAACTTGAAGTATGTGTAGTACAGGTCTTGTTCCTAAGTAATTTTACTTAAGCCATTTACTTTACACTAAAACTTTTTTAAATTGAATACTTAAAACAGCTTTTTGAAATAGTTTATGCAAACAGCAATTAATTGTTGTAAAAAACATTTTCACCGCAATTGTGAAATTTTTTTTTAATATAAAAAAAAAGTTAATTTATTTCCTACTTTCCATTCCTAAAAAATGTTTAATTTAATTTTTTAATTTTATTCCCAATGCTTTTATTAATACCTCGTCTTTGTCTGTTTTTCTGTTAACATCAAATCTTGCAATCAATTTTTGAGTCACTTCCTGATGATAGATTTTCTTCAAATTTTGCATACATACTCTTGCTTGATGACCATACAATTTTCAATAACTAGTTTTGCATTAAGTCAATTAATTTAGTTAATTTTAGTTAAGTTTATTTTTTATATGGAAAGAAGATTAATAATTTTTAAAATAAGTATGTTGTTTGTTATTACTTATATGTGCGTTTTGCTTATTTGGATAAGGTGTTGACTTTGTAAATGGAATGTCTGTGGTTCGAGACCCGCCTCTTCCTGAATTATTTTTGTTTTTTTACTCACGCATTCAGCCAAATGTTAATAAACTAAAGTAGTAATGTGAGAAAAAATTGATTGCAAAATTTGTGTTTTAATAACATAAATATATAACTATATACAAATAAATATATATATATATATATTTGTATATAACATATAAAGCATTGGGTTTTAAAAATTCATTTTTAATTTTACTTATAATATTTAAATCAAATTTATTATTAAATAATAATATTAAATTTATTTTATTAAACTTAAAATTTAGATTTTTTATAAAAAAATTTAAGTTTTTTTTTTTTTTTACTATTAAAATTACCCACCTATGTTATAGCAAAGAAAATTCTTTTTATTAAATTTAATTTATGTTTTATTAATTATGCAGAAAACAAATATAGTTTTTTGAAGAAACCAATAAAATGCGTTTAAGTTTCTAATTTATGTACAAAATATGTTAAATATGTGAAGTTTATTATATATTAAAACAATGCAGCATGTTACAATATTTTAAATATGTAAAGCATATTAAACATTAAACCAATGAAATGTGTTAAAAGTTCTAATTTATCTACAAAATATATTAAATATGTAAAAGATATTAAATAATAAACCAATAAAATGTGTCAAAAGATCTTATTTATATGCAAAACATGTGAAGCATATTAATTAGCTGCTATCTATTGCTTCTGGTCAAAATTAATAAACAAAAAAATAAATTTAATTTTTTTAAATTAATGAAGTCTAATGATGCTTAGTCTATATTAATAAATAAATTAAAAAATTTTTTTTTTTCATTTTATAGGATAAGTATTTTAACTGCTTTATTTCCCAATCTTCTTCAATATCTATTGAGTTTTACTGTTCTGAGAGTTGTTCTACACAACCTGTCGAAATTTTTTATTACAGAGTTGTCAAAAGTCCAGATGGAGGTAATTTTTAGTTTTTGCAAGATAATAATTTTATAAGATCAAGATTTATAGGAACTTTTTTTATCATGTTGATGATAAGATATCCAGACCAGATAGGAGTGTCCATGATAAGATATCTGGACCAGATAGGGTTATTATCCTGTATCCAGTATCTATCCAGATTATAACATTATTTGGTTAATTGTATCAGATATTTTATATTGAAAAAGACTTGTTTTGCTGCAGCTGCAGTCTAATCCTGTTGCCTTAAAGATTCTCAGTTTAGGTACCTAATAGAGTCAATGAAGATTTTTTTTTTTAAATGTTTATGTTTTTAAAGAATCTGATGTTGATCTTGAACTCTATGTAATATAGTTAACTTAAAATTTAATTGTTAACAACAAATGCATCATTTATAAATTTATTTGTATGATGTATAAACAATAGCATCTATTCACATCTCTTTACATTGAGGCAATCAAGGCTGTTACAGCTTTGATCGCTTTTTCTAATAAATATTTCCATATTCAGAAAACAATCTCTCTTAAAATACAGAAGATACTGGCAGTGCTAGTAACTTAAGGACTTCATTTAGTAACTTAAGGACTTCATTTAGCAGAAGCTTCTATTCCAATAATTTAAAACATAATTTTTTTTTCTATATTTAAGTGATTAAAGAAAATATTAAATTCTTGCTTTTACAAAGGAGACTTGGTTCAGAATTAATTTGATTACTGTATTCTGAAATATAATAACAAATTTAAGCTACTAAAGATGTATATTTTAAAATGATTTAAAAATATCTAATAGATTTTCAATGATTTTTCAATAATTTGATGTGAATGTCAGCCACATGTTAAGATCAGCTAAATTCATTTAAAATGTGAAAAGTCACTAAAGTTGTTCTAACGTTAAGAATGCACTATTCCTACAGATTGGCACATCTAAAAAACGCATCAAAAGTAAAAGTGTATTTACATTTTTTTTTTTTGCTGTTGCAGTAACTTGAATTCTGTAGATGCCTTTTAAGAATTGTTAAAATGGCTGACAATTTAATGTGCTTTAGCTAGTCGCTAATATTAGGGATAAAACTGAATTCTTAATCACAAGCTGCAATAATAACTCAATTTTAGCAATTTTACACAATTCATTTATTGCCTAGGGAATTATTAGTCTTCTTGGTACAGCTTTCCAACATATTTATGTTTTCCGACATATTTATGAATTTTTCAGCTATATTTATTCTTTTTGAGATTCTGGAAAATGTAAAGCAAAGAACACAACATTTTTGTATCAAAAAAAAATGTTGCTTTTTTTATCTAATATTGCAATAAGTAAATAAATGCTTCATTAAAAAAAAAAAAAAAAAACTGCAAATATCTGAAGTGAAACGTATTTACTGTAGTTTTATAATTTCATTAAAAACCCTTTTTTTTATATTGTCATAAAAATGATTAAGTTTTTTCGCATTTATTTTTTGATTAAATATCATTTTCTATATACATCTGTTTCTTTATTTCACACATTTTCTTTACAATTAACAGTCAACATTTATAACTTTTATTTATAACATTTATAACTTGTGGATTTCATTTTACTTCTTTTGTCTTGATACAGTTTAAAATGTTTTTTGATTATAGCAGCAAAAAATGACTTTTGACAGATTATTTTAAATCTTCATTTATCCTAGCTCTTTTAAATTTTAATTTTTAAGCTATTTTAATTGAAAAAAAAACTTTTTAATAACAACATTTTAAAAATGAACTAAAAAGTAAAAAATAGACTATTTCATGGGACCCAAGGATTTTGTGTACATACACAACCTGAAATATCCAAGTCAATGACTAGAAATATTGGGCGCCAATAGGAACAAGTTGTACTTAGTTGCCCAACATTTTCAGTCATTGGCTTTAATAGATATTTCAGGTTGTGTATATTTGATGACCGGGGTTGATATTTGACCGGGGCCAGGGCCAGGTTTGATAGAATATAGCCGGGCCAGGGCCGGGTTTATGACTAGGGTTGCATAACATTTATACATCCTAAAGTATAAATAAAAATGTTTACATCCATAACATAAAATTCCAAACTTTTATTCCTTCTGGAATAAAAGTTTCGAAGCTTTTATTACTTCTCCACAATTTTAAGTCAAGCATCATTCTACTCCACATTTTTCATCATCTTAAGCAGTTGCTTTATTAAACATTAATCATTTTTTTCATCTTTTTTACAAGAACATCTCTCTTAACAACAAATGTCCTTTTATTATTACAAAAAACTAATGTAAAAACGTCCTGTCTGATGTTAAGCTCTGTTATTCTCAGTTTACTAAATCTTGTATCTTATCTCAGATGTTAGGTTCTAGAGACTTTTGGTTAGTCTTCAACAGTGTCAGTAACTAAAGTAAGTCTAACATTTAATCTCTAATTCATGGGTCCGATCTTTTTACTTCTCCCCAGAATAAAGCAGAGTTATTTGCAAAGAAATCTTACTCTAATTTGACTCTTAAATATAATGACTGCACTCTTCGTGACAGTTAAATAGATTAACCCATTGTTATCCAAATCACTCTGGTTTCCAATGCTAAAGTTAATTCTCAATTAAACACTTCTATAGTTTTTGAACAAGCAGCTGAGAACAAGCAGCTGATTTTTAATCTGATCTCTCTTCTGTAACAGCCTCTCTTCTGTAACAGCCTCTCTTCTGTAACAGGCTTGCAGTGGCTTGTGGATTTTAAGTCTGGATTTAAAATCCACAATTTTAGTTAGACAAAACTCATTTATTTACTGCAAAAAAATATTGCAATATTGTTGGCATTCCTATATTGATAAATAACAACCTTATTACCCTCAGAAAAAGTCTAAAAGCACATTTTAAATTTAATTGGACCTGTTTTATCTCCCTAGCTTGAGCCACTCTCACATTGTTGTAAGGTTGCATTTCTTTGTTTTTCTACGTATACTATCATGGTCAATGCTCAAACAAGCTATCATCTCTATTACGATAAACCAAAACTTATTCTGGCTTGTTTCTTATTCAACAAGTTGCATCCTTTTACTGTATCTATCTCTTTATGTTATAAAAACTTTTATTAATCCAGTTTTTTTCCTTGCACATCAAAAAAACCTTATAACTATTAGCCATTTATACAACCTAGAACTTTTCAAGTCTTCAGTTTTTTTCACCATTTCTTTGTATTTTTACTTATTCTGTATTTTAAAGTAACTCATAACTTAATAGTGATTGCTTGCAATCTTGTTGGAAGTAAATTAGAGTTTGAAAATATATAAATATATGTCAGTATTTAATAAATTGTAAATGTAAGCATAAAATTATAATATATAAAGTATTATAATTTTTTTTCTAACCCCTGCTATCAACCCCTTCTAAATCTTATAGCTTAGCCGGAGCCGGGTTTGAAAAAAAACTTATTTTTAGCCGGAGCCCTGTTTACTTACTAGTTGTGTATATTCACAAAGTCCTTGAGTCCCGTGAAATAGTTTATTTTTTACTTTTTAGTCCATTTTTAAAATGTTATTTTTAAAATGTTTTTTTAATATATTTTTTATTTTTTACTTTTTAGTCCATTTTTAAAATGTTGTTTTTAAAAATTTTTTGATATTTTTTTTTAACTATTTAAAAGCAATTCTATTTATTTACGCTAAACTAAAATTCTAAAAAAAAAAATGAAGTTTTTATTATGTTTATTGTTTATTAGTTTTGCCTTGTTTGATTTAATTACTTTTTTAAACGATTTCTTTTATTAATACTGCTGAACTCGTGTTTGTTTTACGCGTACACCAAAAAAATAAAAAAAATAAACAAACCAACAAGAAAGCAAGTTAAATAAAATGTTGTAAAATGTTTACCAGAACACCCTTTAAAAATGCTATCTTTTGGGGAGCTTTATAAAATGCTATCCAGGGCACCTGTACATAATGTTATCTTGGGGACTCCTACAAAAAGTTATACAAGGCACCTATACAAAATGCTATCCAGGGCGCCCCAAATTTTTTTGTCAATATATTTTCTAAATATTTTTGTCAATCCTTTGTTCAATTTAAATCTCTTCAAAAAGACGTGGTCAATAGATATTTAAAGCATCAGAATGTTTTCTCAAAAATTTATAAAATATCTCTGGGACATAAATAAGTTGTACTTTTGTAAAAGTAATATGTTTAATTAAAAAATAATTATAATAATAAATGTTCTATAAATTAATAAATAAACATTTTATAAATTCTATTAATAATATGATTTGCTGAAAAAAATTGCAAAAAAAAAACAATATATTTTTCAACAATTCATAAAAAAGCACAATATTTTTCAACAATTTCAACATAAAAACAATATTTTTTTCAACAATTATACTGAGCATTAAAATTGCAAGTATTAAAACCTGCATTAAAATTGTTAAAGTTATTAAAAATTTATTTAGAAATAAATGTGTGTTTGTTGTTGTTAAAATAAAAATAAGATTTCCATACTTGCCAGAGTGTGGAGACATTTGACCTCCCAATAAATGTTTAGAGGCAAAATGTTCTGTCTTCCGCCTCCAGTAGCTTCCATCTCGCTATTGGCGACCGCAGCCAGAGTTTTAGAGGCAAAATTTTTTGGAGGTTGTTGCCAATAGGAAGGCAGAAGCCCATGGCTATTGCCTCGAAATGAACTTTTGGAGGTAAAATGGTTAAGAGGCAGCCTCCAGTTGCTTCTGCTTCCTAGCTTGCTGCAGCTGTCAAATTGGAAGTGGAAATGCTTGCTTCCGACTGGTTGATATAATGAAGAATAATTTTACGTTTATTTTTAAGTTAATGAACAATTAAAATATTGTTTAAAACAAACGTTAAAAATTTGACATCAAAGTTTCATTTTATATGATTTTTTCAAAATGTTGACTATTTAATTAAAAAAATAATTTTGTCAGAATTTTGTTTTGTTTGTCAAATAAATGCAAATAAAATCAAAACAAATTTTGAATGAATTAGTAGTTTCATTTTTAAAATGAATATTAAAAATTGGAAAGTTAATTTCTATGCCTTAGGCAAGAAAATCATTAAAAAAAAAGTTTACAATAAATAATTAAATTATCAGTTTATGATCAAAATTTGATATTTTGACACCTATTCATGATGCTAAAACTTTCATTTTACAACAATAACATTTTGCCTCCAATTTAACAGCTTCAGCCGGTGGGGAGGCAGAAGCCATTCAAGGCAACCTCCAAATAATTTTGCCTTTATAATATTTTTTTGGATACAGCCACCAACACTTTCCACCTCCCTATTGGCATCAGTTTCTAAAACATTTTCCCTTTAAAAAAAAAAATTCTGGCTGTGGCTGCCAATAGAAAGGTGGAAGCCATTAAAGGCGAATGACAAAACATTTGGCTGCTTTCGGCAGAAAGTTACTTTGTTGCCAGGCATTATCAACTCTGTCATAGACTAAGAGCTATGAATTTCAAAATTTTGCTAAATGATGATACGAAGAATTGTGAAAAAATTCACAATTAAATATGAAAAAAAAACTTTCAAGTAAAATAAAAATTAATCCAAAGTAATATTATATGTTAAAAGAACACTACTCAAAATACAATCAATGAGACAACATTAACTTACTGATAAAATAGACATTGTTAGTTTAACATTTATTAAATCTTTTCATTCAGTTTTTGTGAAAAAAGATAATAGCGATTTACTTTTTTTTAGTAGTAAAGTTAATGCCGTGTTGAATTCAGTTAATGCAGTGTTGAATGCAATTAATTCAGTGTTGAACTGAAACTGAAATGAAACAATAACTCAAACATTAACAGCATAATAGAAAAACTTGATGAAAATAAATCCTTAGAACCTTAGCTGAGTTAGTCTATATGTTAAAAAAAAGTGTGTGGAATCATTAGCACTCCCGATTTCTCTTTTATTAAAAAAATCTTTAAACTTATCTTTACTCCCTGTTATGCGGTAAAAAGGCTAATATAACCCTGATTTTTAAAAAAAGATTACACAACTATCACTTTAAATTATAGACTTTGTCTCTAACATCAGTTCTTTGTAATCTTTTAGAAAGTTTAATTCACAAAAATGTATTAAATCATCTAAACAAATATGACTTGATTTCTAAACAACACCACTGATTTGTCAAAAAAAAGATCATGTGTTACAAACTGACTAGTATCTCAAGACTTCATTACAAGTGATGTTAATAATGTTGACTTATTATACATGGATTTTGAAAAAATTTGCATCAAAATCCCTTATAAATGCTCAATTAAAAATTATTAACCTATGGGATTAACAGAAAAGTTACTAGCTTAGATTTAGCATTTTATAATCGGTAAAAAGAATAATTGTTTTACTCATCAGTAAAAATTGCCTTTATATTTAGCATTTGTTTTGGTTGATGTTGCTAGATTAATTGGCTTCATTCTATTAACTCTACAAGATACTTTGACTGATAGGTACAAGATACTACTGATTTTTTTTATTTTGTGACAGACTGGGCATTCTTTAAAACCCTTAACTGTGCAAATGTCGTTGCAAGCGCATTTTAATTTACATTTGTAAAATTTTTCCTTTTCTTGCTTTTTCTTCTCCTTTTGATCCTTTTTTTTATTTTTTCCAATTTTATTTAACTCAACCTGTTTAATGATGTTTTGGGCTTCCATTGAACCATGTATGTTCATGACACATATTTTTCGTTTTTTTTTTTTTTTTTTTTAATGTTTTTTGGGTTTGCCTTGTTTACTGTATATCTTCTAGATTTAAACTTTTCTTGTAACTTTCTTTCATAATCAACTGTGACGCGAACATAACTTTCCAATAGTTTGCTGATCCATATCGATGATGTGTTTTTGCTAATTTGGACAATGAATTTGGAGTAACTGGAGTTAACAAGACATTTGCTGATGAACATGTGCAAATTTTCTTTGGTGTACTTTGAACAAGACTGGCTGAAGACTCTTGCTCCTGATTTTGAGCCATACAGTTTGCAGCCTGTTGAATTTTATCTTGCTGCATATTATTTACATTTAAACCCTCTTTAGATATCCCAACTCTCTTTGCAACATTAATTATGATATCCTTTGAAATCCATTTGTCCCACACTGCTCCTAAAATTGTCATGAAACCTTTTCGGTTTATTGTTTGGAATGTTGTAAAAAGTCCTCTTTTTTGTCATATTCACGACGCACGATGTTCTGATTAGGACTTTGATCTAATAGTTGAGTCACCCCAGTTTTATCAGGAGGATATATGAACAAGGTAATTTTCTCTTCATGGAGGAAATGTAAAACATTGTTCAATCTTGAACTGTGTCCATCTGTTAGCATTACAACAAGTTGCTGAATGTTCTCTTCTGACAAATATATATCAAACTTTTTGTATAAGTCTAATAAAGAATGATTATCCTGGTTTCCATTTTCAGTAGATGATTTAATTAAATTTTTTATATTTTTGAAAGCTGTTTTTGGGGCTATATGACTAGAAATACCTTTACCAGCAAAAATAATTTGTGAAACAACAATTTCTCTTGAAATGTTAGATATAATTAAAAATTAAAATGTAATAACAAAATTACTTTTGATTAAAATTAAATCTGTCCACCATGTTACCATGGTGATAAAAACATTCATTAACACTAATATGGTTAACTATCACTTCCATCGTGATAAAAAAAAAGTGGATTATTTTTTTAAATAAATACAAATTACTGCATTGGTATTATTATTTACACAAATAATTTTTGTTAATATTACCTGCCAATGAAACAAAATGACATCTGATTCACAATTCTCACAAATCATTCATATGCAAGGTTCTCCACGTGCAGCATAATCAAACCAGAATTTGTTCCATCAACCCCATAATTTATGAGTTGAGGTGTTTCGTCAAAATTAAAACTTCTTGTTGTTTCAATATCACCCTTCCACACACCAAGTTTGAGTTTTATGGAGTTTGTAAAAATATCACATTTAATAAGTTCTTCACCCAATGAATCTAAAAGATAGATTTTTTTTAGTACAATGCAGCCTAGTACAATGCAGCCTAGTACAATGCAGCCTAGTACAAAATCTAAGTAAATGCATTAGATTAGCCTAGGGCTTATCTAAGGCATTTATTTATTTATTGTAATAAATAGATAAATGCCTTAACATAATTTAAATTATATTAGCTATTATATATTATATTATAAAGCATAAATAAAGCAAACAAAGTAGAAAAAAACACATAAATTATTCCAGTAATAATAAGACAATATTATATTCTTACCTAAATGTGACTCTGCCATCCCTCTTGTAGAGTTCAATTCTCTGGTAATTGGTACATTTCCTTGTCTTTTAAGAACTAAGTCGTGGTGCTCTGCTTCCCATCTCTGCCAAAACATTATTAATACCTCTTCTAAATAAAAGTATGATATTTGAGTGTCTTATATGTTAAATTAGCGAGAAATTTTATTTAATAAAGGTCTCCCTAAATACATCATATTAGAAATCATCATAGAAGTTGTTGTTTGTAAAAGTTTATAGTATTTAAGGGGTTTTTGGGTTTGTTCATGTCTTATCGTTTATAATAAGACTACAAAAATGTGTGTACAAATACTGTGGCCCAAAAACAAAATTTTTTACGAAATTTTGAGTGAATCTGATGAACGATTCTTAAACTATTAGCCAAAAACCTCCTTGCGGTTTTTAAAGGATAACAACCAAAAAAAGAAAATTTTTCTTGAATCACAAAACTTTACTAAAAATCATAGATCGAAAAATATGGCCAGAGAAGAAAATCATATTAATATGTTTTTAAGTACAGAAAGTTTCATTACTTTAGAAATTTTCAATATTCAGTTATAGGTTACTTTTTTTTGTGTGTAGTTTTTAAGGCGTATATTGTTATTATAATATTCTTTGTTTTTTAACTCTTTTTTTTTTAAGACATAAAATCTTAATTGCTTTTTATATAAATATGCTAAATAAAAAAATAAATATGCTAAATAAATAAAACAGTATTATTAATATCAATATTGATCTCATCAATATTTTGAATATTAGTATTGATCTCATCTTAATAATATTTTCAATATTGATCTGATCTCATCAATAATAGTTTATAAAAACTTGTTGCTAAAAACCGAAAAAAAAATTTAAAAAAAACCATAAAACATTATTTATACATATTATTTTCAGTCAAAAAAAAAATGGTTTTTATAATTTTTTTGTATGTTTTTCAGCCCTTGACACCTGGTGCAGCGACCGTCAGACGGATTTAGAGTATCCTAGTGATCTATTATTTGTAAGTTTTAATACAAGAATACCAAAGACATCTATCAAGAATACTCCTAGCAAATCGTTTAGTTTGAGCCCCCCAATTTTTATTTCGATTCTTTTATTATTTGTAACGTTCATTATTTAATTTATGTTCATTCTCGCAATTACTAAATAGACGTCAGATAAATTATTTTCTTTAATATAATTTTTTTTACAAAAGTATGTAGATATGTTTTATGTGTATATGAATAAATTTTTTACTTTTTTATATTTGTATATTTTTGCAAAAGATTAATTTTAACATTCAAAGTTATTGCGTATTTTTATTCTTTTTTTTTTTTTTTTTTTTTTAACAGGTTGAATTATTCCGTTAGATAATACAATAATTTATTTAGATAATCGAAGAATTCAATTGAATGAATTATTCAAATAAATACATTTATTTCAACTGGATAATAACTAGGGGTGAGTAAAACCTGGATATCCGATCCGGTATTTTAAAATCGGATTTGGATTTAACCAAACCGGATCCGAACTCCGGTTTTAAAATCTGTAGTTAAAACTTCCAAATATGGATGAGCATAACAGGTAATCCGGAATAGACTAATTAAAATCACCCCTATTTAAAACTTCCAAGTTTTAACTAAGGATAAGAAAAACCGGATATCATATCCGGCTCGGTTAAATCCGAATCCAATTTCAAAAAACCGGATCAGATATCCGGTTTTGCTCAACCCTTATAATAACTGGAAAGATTCAACTAAATTCCTATTTAAAAAAACAAAAAATACAATTATAGAAAAATTTGAATTAATACAAAAATCAAGAAAAAATATTTTCATTTTTTTTATTATATTTATATATTATTGTATTTATATTTATATAAAAGAAAGAACAATATTAGAAATCCACAAAATACTCTTTTTCGTTTTTTTTTTTTTTAAATAGGCCAGCTACAAGGGTGTTAGAAGGTTCAAAAGCTTGTCTGCATACTGAAAGTTTCAATTTTTAAATGATATCATTAGCTAAATTTTACTTGTTTTCTGCCATTATAAAGTACCAATACCCTTAAAAATCGAACGGAGAATCGAGATCTTTAATATTATAAATTTCTCTTACCAAAACTGTGATCTTGAGTCAAAATCATTCCTTATAATACGACACCGACTGCGAAAATAAACATTTAATTATTATTTATTTTTTTTAGGACATAAAAAAGTTGATAATGTTTTGGAACGGTGGCGTCACCCAGTACGGTACACTTTTTTGGTGTCACCTTTTAGACTTTCACTGACAGGGCCGACGACACGAGATTCGAATTTCTAAATAACAAAAAAATGACCTTTATTTGGGGCATAAAAAATACAATCTTTTGATCTTGTATAAAAGACGAAAGATTTTTGTGTGAAATGAAGAAATAGCAGAGTTATTATTAAAGAAAATTGAAAAATTAAAACCTGAAAACTATTGGTTAGGCCATTTTCGTTTCGGTGTTACCGTGTTAGGTCGTGAAAGTGTCACCCGGTGAGGCCTGCACTCCCTAACGATGCCACTGTTTTGGAAGGTCACATTATTACATAAAAATACCAATACATGCAAAATAAAAACACGTTTGCTCATTTTCTGGTAGTACAAATCATTTCCTTAAACTCACAATTTAATTCCGTTTAAAGAGTTTTTTTTATAAAAAACGTGCTCTAAATAATTGAAAAAAAAGTAGAATCTTTTATTTGGTTGCTTAAGTTTTGGAGGACTACCATGGTGTTTGGTCAGCAAACACCTTTGTAGTGGATTTGTAGTGGCTCCAAATAGGCAATTTTAGCGGTTCATTTCGGTTTTGCTCTACGGTTGCTTACTGGATTATTAGTGAAATCCGCTACAGTTGGCTAATTTTTACATATTTATTTAACATATTCTAAATACAATTTTAATCACATGGGTACTGTAAAGTTTCTTGTTTTACTTTATTTTTCCAAATAACACACACTGTGTTAGGATGTATTTATTGTTTGAAAGTATTAGTTTATACAATATGTTGATAAAGTTCATCCTCGTGTTCTCAAAGAATGTTCAAAATCACTTTCTCATCCCTTATCACTGATCTTTAAAATATCATTTTATAGTGGTGTTATACCAAACGAATGCTTAACTGCAAACATAACTCCACTATTCAAGAAAGGAGATAAGTTAGATCCTTCAAACTATCGACCGATATCAATAACATCAATAGTATGCAAGGTTATGGAGAAAATTATTCACAATGTTATGATGAACCATTTAGCTTTAAATAAGTTAATAGCAAGCGAACAGCACGGATTTGTTAATGGTAAAAATTGTTGTTCTAATTTATTAGAGACTTTAGATTTTATAACAAGTAAAATAGACTCTGGTAATAATATTGATATAATATTTTTGGACTTTGCAAAAGCCTTTGATTCTGTTTGTTTATCAATGCTGCAATCTTTATGTTTATAGTTTTCACTCTTATATCTTACAATGGTGTAAAACATTTCTCAGTAATAGAAAACAACAAGTTGTTCTGGGTGAGTTTGTTTCAGATTGGAAGGAAGTCACAAGTGGAGTTCCCCAGGGTTCAGTCCTCGGTCGACTTCTGTTTATAATATTTATAAATGACTTAAAAGTTAACATACTAAATAAATTAGAATTATTTGCAGATGATACAAAAATAATGTCAGTAATTAATAATGTAAGTAACAGCAGTGCTCTTCAAGAAGATTTAAATAAGTTATTAGACTGGTCAAATAAGTAGTCAATTAAATTCAATGGAGAAAAGTGTAAAACAATGCACATTGGTAATTTGAATCCTCAGTTTAGTTACAAATTAGGAGATCATATTTTGCAAAAAACGAAATTTGAAAGAGATTTAGGTGTAATATTATCAAATGACCTCAAATGGGAAAATCATATTATCAGTGTAGCAAATAAGGCAAATAGAACACTGGGTTTTTTAAAACATGGATTTAAATATCTTGATGTTACCATTTTGAAGCTGTTATACAAGACAACTATTAGGCCACAGCTTGAATATGCAGCATCTGTATGAAGCCCATATTGTATTAAAGACATTAAGAGACTTGAAAATGTACAGCGTAGATTGACTAGGATTGAATCACTGAAAGGCATCTGCTATGAAGAAAGGAAAAATATATTAGGTTTACCATCCTTACAAGAAAGGAGAAGAAGGGGCGATTTAATAGAAATGTTTAAAATATTAAATTCAACTGAATATATAAGATTTGAAGAGCCTTTAAAATTTTACAACAACATGTCCAGATATCGTCGTAATAAAAGACTTCATCGACAATATACTAAAAAATCATCCAGGTATTATTATTTAACAAAAACAGTGGTCGATGATTGTAATTTATTGTCACAAGATGCAATCGATTCTGCAAACAAAAACACGTTCAAAAATAGAATAGACAAAATTTTGAACTTTTGATACCAAATTTTATTTAGGAACTTTTTATTCTATTTTTAAAATTTTACATTTAACGACTGTTACAGTCAATACACTACGTAGTTTTGACTCACCAAATTTAAATAGTTTGTACAGCAATTATTATATTACATATTATATGAAACAGGTAAAACGTCCAAAAATATATTAATATGCGGGGTTTCTCAAGGATCGATTTTAGGACCGCTATTATTTTCACTTTATATAAATGATTTATCTTTTACATTAAACTTATTAAATTTTATTTTATTTACGGATGACTCGAATCTCTTTTATTCACATTGGGATATTAAAACGCTTTTTAAAGTAGTTAATGAAGAGTTAAACAAAATAAACGAATGGCTTATATGTAATAAAATATCGCTTAACATTACAAAAACTAAGTGTATACTATTTCATAAACAAAATAAAATAGATAATCTTCCTCTAGAATTACCTGATCTGAAAACAGTGGCGCCAATTGCATTTTTTGGTTTTTGAGATAACTTTTAGACGTTTTTGGTTTTTGAGGTAACTTTTAGACGTGGAGCAAACTCCAAACATTTATATGTTTATACTTCTGTCAAATAAGGATGCTTTGCAAAAAATCTTGATGATTGGAGCTTGGGAACAAAAAAGCCCTAAAAGTTTGGCCCCCCTCCTGCCCCAAACGTGAGAGCAACAAGTTGATGAAATATTTTTTGTATTATTTTCAACTAGACTTTTATTCATCGATAAATTTTAAGCTCCAATCATCGTTATTTTTTGTAAAGTATCCTTATTTGACTTAAGTATAAACACATATATGTTTAGAGTTTGCTCCACGTCTGGAAGTTAACTTTCTCGAAGACTAAAAAATGCAATTGGCGCCATTGTGACTGTGGCACCACTTTCAGACTGAAACTCGCTACCTATGAGGCAGCCATGTATAAAAGAGAAGTATACAAGTTTTAAATTAATTTGCGACATAGATTTTGTTTTATAAAGTAGACCTATGTTTTTTGATATTTTAGTGTTTAAAGCATTTATGTGAGCTTTCCAAGAAAAATTTTCATCAATGATAATTCCTAAAAATTTAGTTTCTTGAGTTCTCTCAATTACTATATTTTCTATTTTTAGAGAGAATAGAATATTTGGTAGTGTGTTTCTTTGCTAGTTTAAATGAATAAAAGTGTATTTTATTTTTTCTATGTTTAGGGATAACTTATTTGTTTTAAACCATATATTTAATTTTTGGAGTTCTATGTTTACATTATCATAGAGATTCTTGATGTTTGTCGAAGAGTAAAATGAATTTGTATCGTCTGCAAATATTATAAAATCAAGTTTGCTAGAAATTTTTGGTAGGTCGTTTTTATAGATTAGGAACAAAAGAGGAGCAAGAATCGAAGCTTGGGGGACACCGCAGGTTAATTTTAATAATTTAGTATGGTAATTATCATCTGTAATTACACCAGACCTAGGATTCGCTCAAAAAATTCTGAGCGGCGCTCAATTTGTCGTTCAGCAGCTTTTTATGAACGGACGCTCGCAAATCTGCTCATAAAATTTCTTGAACGGGCGCTCCGCTCATTCGCTCACAAATCCGCTCATAAAAAAGTTTTAATAACTTTCCCAATATTCGCTCTTTAAATTGAGAAAAGTTTTTAAAGTAACTACTTTAAAAAATGAAAGTGAAACAACGCTAACTGCAGTATTAAAATTAAGAAGTTTCTCTGGCTTTTTTCAACTTTTTTAGTAGGATTTCATGATTTGTCGAACGTTTTTGACAAGTCTACAAAGACTCCTATCACGAACTTCTTTTCACAGATTGATTCACTAATCCTTTTGATGAGGTTTGCGATAGCACTTTTAATATGTTTGTTTTTGTATGTATATACACGCATGTGTATGTAATTACACGTATGCATTTATACATTTTATTTTTTTCTTAACTTTAAATTTTAATATTTTTGTACCTTTTTGTTATATACTTTAATATAGTGTATATATTTTGATATTTTAATATACTGTAATATACTGGAAATATACTTTAATATATTGTATATACTTTAATTTTTTACGGACTTGTTAAATCCGTTTGTAATGGGGGCTCGGTGAAAAGGCTTATTATGCCTTCTTCTTGCTCCAGCCATTTCCTTTTGTTATATTTGTACATTGTATATATTCTACTACAACTACTACTACTACTACTACTACTACTACTACTACTACTACTACTACTACTACTACTACTACTACTACTGCTACTACTACTACTACTACTACTACTACTACTATTATTATTATGTATGTAATGCATAACATGCACTCTATGTATGCATTACTTGCATACATTGCCATGCATTACAACATGCAATCATACAATACTGCAATGTACACAACAATGAATACAACATGCAATGCAAAACAAGTTGCTTTTGTTGAATAGCATATTATTTAGTTGTTATAGACTCAGAGAAGTAACATCAAATTCCAGACAAAATAAAACTTTAGTCGCTGCAAGCGGAGTTCTAAATAATTACCTAAGTAACTACGAAGTAGGTACGTAATTATATAACTACGTAAGTAATTATACCAACATGAATAATTAAAATGTATATTCCATGATTGTTATCATGAAATATATTTTACTGATTTATGTTTAAATATATTTTAATGATTTTTTTTTTTTTTTTTTTTTTTGCAACTTTCTATTATAGCAGCAATGAAGATGTGGTCTTAAATTTGTATGTCAACAAGAGTTTAAATTGTCTTTATGATCAGGAAAAATATATATATATATGCAAAATTTCCTGAAATTTTTAACTCGGGAAATTTTCCGCAAATTTTGAACATTTTCAAAAAAAGATAAGGGGCTGTCCATTAAATTACGTCAATAAATTTTTTGAAATTTTTACCTCCCCCTCCCCCTTTTCAACAATTTGTCAAATTTCCAGAGAGCCCCCCCCCCCTATAAAGTTACGTCAACTTATGATTACCCCCCCCCCCCCCCCAAACAAAGAAACTACGTTACAGTTTTCCGTTATTTAAGGGATAAAAAAAAAAAAAATGTTGACGTCATTTTTAATTGACCTCCTCCCCTCCCCCGAATCAACAAATGTCATAAAAGTTTGGACCCCCCTCCCCCTATTTTGTTGATGTAATTAATGGACCCCTAAGCTAATTTATAATTAATAGATAAAATTTAAGTCTTAGTTAAGTTGTTATGGTAAAGTATTGTGAAGCAGATCATACAAAATTTAGAAAGCCCCTTTAAAATACACTTTCTTTGGTATTTTTTTAGGTTTTTTTATTACAACTATAAGTAACAACTATGATAATTTGTTATCAAAATATTCTAATACTGTTTTATCCTGTTATTTGCTATGCATATTAATGTTCAATGCCGTATTTATGAATATCTATTAAATTGACCGACAAATAACTGGAAAATGTAAAATTATATATAAAAAGATTTGATATAAATATTTGCAGTATTTTACAATTTTTTCTTGATTTAAAGACAATATCGATTAATAGAAAGCAAAAAGTAAGGAATTTTTTGCTAAATTTGAGCTATTTAAAAATAAAGTTAGCAATGAAAAAAAAAGAACTAATGATTTTGAGGTCATAAGCCCACCGCAATGTTTAAATAAGTGCGTTAATTACTGCGATAAAACATACTTTTGAAAAAAAAAAAAAAAATTAATTTTATAAAACTATATAACTGTGAAGTTCATTGCAATAAATTTTCAAAAATTTCCAGAAATTCTCAACCCTATATATGTATTACTTAGATGCGTATTTTAAGTTCATTATTTATCGTATAGTTTGTGACGTAGCCTGTGTCATTCTAATTCAGAAGGCTGTCAGAAGTTACACATTTTTGTTGATACTTTTCTGTTGAAGTTAAAGATTTCTACTTTATTTTTACTTCACAAAAAAAGTGTAGATATTCATATACCCTTGCTATCATGTAAAACCCGTTTAAAACAAAAACAAATTAATGCAATAGTTTATTTTGATGCAAAATAGAAGCATTGGTTTTCTAAAGTAAGTCTTTACTTAATTTCTCTCATTTTGGTTCAGACTGCCCTCTGAAGATACACATTAACGATGCTATACTTCTGGTGTTTTTCTCACTTTCCTGTTGTTGTTATAGATTATTAGAAGTAACATAGTTAAACAGCTAAAAAACTTAATCTTATTAGTAGGGTTCATTATCGAAATTGCAATTTTCGAAAATTTTCGATTAAAACGTTATCGAAATACTTCTTTTTTTTCGAAATCTAAAAAAACTTTCGATAATAATCGAACTAGCCATATTAATTTCGAAAAAAAAAAGTAATTTAGAAATTTGAAATTAATTTCGAAATAAAAAGGTGGATTACGAAATAGGAAATTAATTTCGAAAGGAAATAAAGAATTTCGAAATGTGAAATTAATTTCGAAATAAAAAGGTGGATTTCGAAATAGGAAAATAATTTCGAAAGGAAAAAAAGAATTTCGAAATGTGAAATTAATTTCGAAATAAAAAGCTGGATTTCGAAAAAGGAAATTTATTTCGAAAGGAAAAAAAGAATTTCGAAATTATTTTCGAAAAAAAAAATGTATTTCGAAAAGTGATATTAATTTCGAAAGAAAAAAAAGAGTTTTGAAAAGTCAAATTAACTTCGAAAAAAAAAAGTGTATTTTGAAAAGTCAAATTAATTTCGAAAGAAAAAAAAGAGTTTCGAAGTGTGCAATTAATTTCGAGAAAAAACCAATAGATATTTGGTAAGCTAAATTAATTTCGAACTTATTAAAAGAAATATTAAAAGAAATATTGAAATTTTTTTCTTATAGAAAACGTTTAGATTCTCTTTCGAATTATTCTAAGGAGATGTTCTTAGAATTGCTCTTAGAAGAATTTTATTTTTAATAATGTTTTTTTAAAAACTTTTCCATATAAATGGTCCACGGTATTGAATTTGAAATGAATTGAGTTTTAAATAAGATCTTGGAATTACAAAATTATCAGATGGGTATTAATGAGATATTTCTGCAAAGTAAGAGTGAAATATATAAGGAGATAACGCATGTTTTGATTTAAACGTAAAAAGCATAACTTGGTATATATTAAGTTTATAAATAAAAAAACTATGAATAGGGGAAGTCAGGGTACAGTGGATTGAGGGGCACAGTGAATAAGAAGCATTTTTTCAAAGATTATGATTTTGTTCATCACGATGATGTAATAAGTTTATGTGCGCATATATCACCCATCTTTATTTATAGGTGTTACCACATAATTTTTGACTCTCGGTTTTAGGTAGGTAATTTATGTTTTTAGCTAACTAAAGTAAATGCTCTTACCATCTTTATGTTTGTTGTGGAGATCATGGTTAAAATCATTTTATAAGTTAAAGTTTTATATTCGGAATACTGATCTTTATGGTTCATTTTAGTAGTTTTGCTTTTCCTTTAATAAAACTCATGCCCCAAGAAATTAAACTTGAACCTTATTTTTTATAGTGGGGCACAATGAATCGGGGTACCGTGAAACGGTTAATTCACTGTGATAAAAATGTTTATAAAAATTAAAAATTCACTTAAAAAAATTTCTTGTGTTGTTGGTTAAATAAGTTTTATTAAATAAATTTTTTTTTGTGATTTTAGATGGTTGAATAAGTTTTGTTATCAATAAAATTTATTCTTTATTTTGTCAATCAGAAAAAATTTAAATTATTTAATATTAGTTACCAAAAGTGCACCAAAAGTATAGTGTACAATGTATTTACACCCTCATCCTCAAAATTATTTGGCTACGCCCCCATTAACTACCACTAAATTGCAAATGAGTTAATTGTTTCACTGTACCCCAGTACTGGGGTACAGTGAATCACTTAACAAAACTCACTTTAAACCTTTCTGTGAGCTGTTAGATAATATATATTTAGGTTTTAGTTATTTCTTATCATGAAGGACATATTCTCAATCCTTTAGCCTTGACAAACATAAAATATATATTTTAACTTTCACTCAAATTAAAAAAGAAAGAAATTCGACCCACTTTGCCCCACTCTCCCTAAATGAAAAATATATAATTTTCAAAGACTCCGTATTAAGAAAATTATATATTTTTTATGCTAAATAAAGTTAAGGTTTAACTATATATAGCATTGAAGTATTTTTGGATATTTTAATTTCAATAGATTTAATGATATTTCCATGATATATTTTCATCTATAATCACTCCTAGAAAGTTAAAAAAAGACTCTCTTCTAATCACTTTTTTGTTCATAAAGATTTTCCTCAAGTTAGGGAAAGATAAAACAATCCAATTTATAATTAGTTGTTTGGACAACAAGATTTCTTAAAAAAGGGCAATATCATAACAGTAAATGCTACTGCTACAAGCTATGAAATTAGTCCTCTTTAGTTACAAATTCTAAACCATTCAATAACGGGGAAAGATTATTTAAATTTACGAATCATTTACACACACACCTTCCTAAATGCATTTTTTGTGCATTTAGTCGGCAAAAATAACCCTTTTAAAGAAGTCGGCAAATGTAGACCTTTTAGACAGGTCAGTCGTCGAACTTCAAAAAACAAGGACCTAATTTTTTACTCAACAAAAATTTTAATGACACCCCACCACGTCACACCTACTTGCACCTGCCCTGATGGCAGCTCAATCATTGGATATTGGTGTTTTTTCCAGAATTGAAAAGAATGTAGCAGAAAACATATTGTCATTAATTAAGCTGTTTGTAAAAAAGTTCATAAGATAAAAAAAAAAGAATACAAGTGCTTTAAATTACTAAGATTTATAAAATACACTTTTACTAAATAATTTTTTTTATTTTAATAAAGAAATGTTTTTGATTACTTGTTTTCTTTAATAAAAACTAACTGCTTCAATAAGCTTGGCGCAAGCCTGTTCCGTAGCTCCGTATCTATTAAACCGGTTGAACTAAATAAGCATTCTGATGGCACGGATGTCGCTGGAACTGAAAATATTATCCGTGCAATTTGTGTCAAAACCGGGAACAATTTTTGATTAGCTTGGAAAAATTCAATGGCACTATTTTCGTAGCTATGAAAGTATTGCAGACTGTAATCATTTATTTCTTTTTCAAGTTTATCATTGCTCTCAATTGAATTACAACAAGATTTATCTGTTACTAGTTCAATTAAGTTGATTGACTTTCGTCTTTTGTTGTTAACTAAAGTAATATTATTTGCAATAGGTGACGTTGACAATTGCTGAAATGTTTTTATGGTATTGTCAGCTGAGCTGTTTGACGAGTTCAAAGTGTTATTTAAACAATTTGTTTCAATTGTTATATCGATTTCTTCGGTTTCTTTTAGATGCATTTCATAAAATGTTTTTATAAACATTTTTGCCTTTGAAATGCATTCATATCTATAGATATCATTTTTGATAAACTCGAATTTACGAAATTTGAAATCAAGAAAAGTAGCTGCTAAAAAAAATCATTAGCAAAAATGTATTTAAAACGTCTTTTTAGAGACCTTAATAATTCCTTTTGAAAAGTCTTAACTAGTTCTGTAAAAATAGGTTGCGATTCAAGTATTTCATTTAGTAGAGAATACAGTGTTGGAAACAGGAATGTTACTGTAACATATTTCTTTCCGCTAAAAAGTTTTGTTAGCTCTTTAATTGGGTGTAACAAATCACACAAATCCTCCAGCACCTTAAATTCAGTAGCAGTGGGAAGATAGTCTTTTATATTTTGGAATTCGATGCTTATCATATCTAATGCAGTTTTATTTGTTAATATAGATTCAATCATATCGAATTGGCTATTCCAGCGAATAGCTATATCCTGTACTAACTTTATTTTAGTTTCATAACGAAGTGTTTCTTGAACTTCTTTTAACTTTTTTTGTAACATCTCTGAATGCTTAAATGAACCAACAATGTGCCTACAGGATGAAATTACCTTGGCGATTTCTAATTTGCCTTCGTTAATTTTTTCAATTTCTTTAACTTCACTTTCTGTAATTTCTCTATTAATTAGTTTTCCATTACCGTCGTAATCTTTTACTTGGTAACGCTTTGACCCATTTTTAAATTTTTTTACTTTTATATCTCGTGCGTTTAGAAGATGATTAACCACGAGATTCAAACGATGACCAGCACACGGAATCTTAAGAACATTATCATCAAATTTATTTACTGCAGAGAAAATATTTGCACCTGAGTCAGTAACTAGTGCAAAAATCTTATTATTGATTGACCATTCACTGAAGATTTCGTTTAACGTATTAAATAAATATTCAGCTGTTTTCATTTCAGACATAAACTTAAGATCCAGGTTTCGGTCAACTAGAGTCATATTTTTGTCAATAAAATGACAAGTCACACCGAGGTAGCTGTTTTTACCTAATGATGACCAACTATCACAAGTAATTGTAATGAAACGACATCCCTTCAATTCTAGCATTAAAATTGATTTAAGATTGTCCGTAATTGATGGAATTAATTTCTTGCTCACCGTATTTATGCAAGGCATTTTGTAGCTTTTGTTTAACTCACTAACTAAGTTTACAAAGTCTGGATGACGTACTATCGAAATCGGCTGATCGGTACCAACAATAAAATTCACCAATAACCTGTTTAATTTTTTATGACCAGTCTCTTCAAAACCATTCTCATTACCGCTCTCAATATCGGATATATCGTCATCGTTGAGTAAAGTTGTTGATTTTTTAGATATTTTAGAATTAATGCAATGATCAATTGATAAATGGGATTGCATTGAACTGGTCGAACTGTTGTAAGGTAAAATCTTATAACATATGCTGCATTTTTTTTGATTCTTTTGGTCCATTTCGAAATATGTCCAAACGAAGCTTCGTTTTCTTATTCCTTTCTTAATAACGGATTTATTTGTTTTTGACATTGTTTATTCAAACTAAAAAGCGAGTAGTTTTTTTACTCGTTCGTATGTAACAAATATTAACAAATTAGTAACTTATGATAAAATAAATTTGTACCACATGTTACTTCACTTACGTTTCCGAGATATTAATGAGATTGTTATAACTTTAATATAAAATTACACCATTTTTAGAATTGTGTAACACAAAAATCGCAAAGGCATAAGTCGATTTGAAACCGTTGCAAATCTCTAAATAACCACTAGAAAGTAATTAGCCGTTTACATTGCAACAATGATTTCATGTCATGCGTTTAAGACCTCAAGGGAATTGCCGTTGAGGAATAATAATGACTTATATGCGTGCTGTAAACTATGCGTTCTTAGAAGGGACTGTCAAAATTCTATATTTCTTGTTTAACCAGATAATCTTTAAAGGATTTTAGAGAAAAATTCGAAAAATAATTTAGTTTTTGCTAATTTTTTTAAGCTGACCTTCTACTTTATTTTTAAAAATTTACAGATATTAAAAATAAAATTCCTTACAGACTCTTCTAAAGTGTCTAAAGTTACGCAACTTTTCTTTCAAATTTACTTTGATTTTTAAACGTTGTGTTTTCGAAATAAAAAAAGTATTTTCAAAAGAAATTTTTATGCAATCAAAACGACGCGCAAAAAAAACTTTTTATTTTTTTAACGCTATTCAAGCTATCAAAAAGGCTATTCAAGCTTTTGGTGAGGGTAAATATAATCCCTAAAAATAATTTTATAAAAGTAAAAAGTCATGAAGCTTAATCTAATCAGGTGAGAGAGGTGAAGGGGAAGGTATTGTTTGTCCCGGGCAGCAGATGTCCATGGGGCAAATTCGGTAAAAGGCCCTCAAAAATTTGAAAAAGACCCCCTAAATTTGTCCCCCCCCCCCAATTAAGGAGGAGCGTGGGGAGCCTATCCACGGCTGTGAGTATATCCTTGCTTTTTGGTAGCAGTTTTTTTTAAAAAGTAGCAAAAATAGTATTATTTTCTATATATTTAGAGTTTTATTAAAGTAAAGTTTTTAAAGTAAAGTTTTTAACAAAATACCCAAGAAACAAAATTGAATTGTGCTGCTCAATGTTATGATTTTGGTTGGTGAAGGGGGGGGGGGGGGGAAGAGTTAAATTGTTTTCACAAATTGGCCCCTCCTTATAAGTTTTTTCTGAATTGACGCCACTGTTTGAGCCCAATCTGGAAAAATAAAAACTCTACGTCTATGGACTTATCAGTGCAAACAATACATATAAACCCATATATTGGTCAGATGTCTGATGTTACGCTTCGGCAATAACACTTGCGCTGCTCAGCAATACTCGTTTTACGGCTAGCCAGGACTGGCATTTCAGAGAGCCATTATCAAACCAGTGTATACAGCGTTTACACTAAAAAAGTCATTAGGGCCCCAAAATTAAAAAAAACCTGTTACTAAAAATAAAAAAGCTCCCCAAAGTGTCACAAAATCTGAAACCACGCTAGGCTTAAATATGTGAGGTGATTTGCGAACGATCCCTGAGTTATTATTAAATTAATTGCAGATTCTTCTATAAAATAGTGGGAGGTAGTTAAACCCTTTTCCCTGGCCGTAACACCAAAACTTTTAAGTATTATTTTATGTTAATTTTTAAAATTTAATTATTTATAAAAATATTTTAATAAAATTTTGTACAATTTCAGTAATAAAATAAATATAAGCAAATTTTAGAATTTAATAGTAATATTGTGTAATATTTTCAGAATTTCGATATCACAAAAATATTTCGAAGCAAATTTTACAATTTCGAAAGTAAAAAATTTTTTCGGTAATATTTTCCGATTTTCGAAATCGCAAATATATTTCGAAGCAAATTTTACATTTTCGAAAGTAAAAAATTTTTTCGGTAATATTTTCCGATTTTCGAAATCGCAAATATATTTCGAAGCAAATTTTACATTTTCGAAAGTAAAGAATTATTTCGATAATATTTTCAGAATTTCGAAATCGCAAAAATATTTCGAAGCAAATTTTACAGCTTCGAAAGTAAAAAAATCGTTTCGATGCAAAATTAATTACTTTAAAATTATTTCGAACTTACCGAAACGAAAATAGAGTTTCGAAAACTTTTTTTTTAATCGAAAATTCAACTTTGGCTTTCGTGAACAACCCTACTTATTAGGTTAAATTTTTAACAAAACAAAACTTGTACTCAAACATCATGCAACTTTTATTTGTTGTTAACCGGATTATCGGGTCAAATTAATCCTAAAACAATAGGGAATATTTGGCCTTAGTTACAGTAAACAAAATTGAAAAAGTTCTAAAAACGTTTGATTAAAAAGGTTTTCTCGATTTTGTTTACTTTGAAAAATAAATCATGAAATTATACGATTCATATTTTAGACGAAAGCGCAGGAGAGCAATTTTTTTTTTAATGCGTAAATTGTTTACAACATTGAAGGCGTAGCTATTTTTCCTTAAGTACTAATATATATTTTAAAGACCTTTATTGATAGTTCTCTTGAATACCAAAATAATGAATTATTGGTTGCGATATTTTGTAATTAGGTTAATTATGCGATTATAATTATGTATGTTTTTAAAATTACTAGTATCAATTAAACCGCGCAACAATATAGAAAAAATTAATAAAAGTTTTAAATACGAAATAAAATAAATATTTACTTTATTTATAAAATAATTTATTTATAAAACTGCGGTTGATAACCTCCGCCTCGTCCTTGGTTAGTCCACTCTTGTCCAGCAGAAGTCATCGGACTACTTCCACCCCAATCTCCATGCGAGCGCATCGCTAAAGATTGCTGTGGAGTCGAAACTCGAGAGGAGTGCAAGTCTTGTCGCGTATTAGTTTGCTGAACAGTTTGTAAACTCGGAGTTAATTGTTGCTGTGTATTTTGAATTGCAGTCGTAGAAGTCGACATTTGGGCAGGAAGATATTGGTATGCAGCAGGAAATTGTTGGCCTAGTTGCACACCCGGCTGCAGGGAATTAAACTGAGTCTGCGAACTTGAAAGAATTGGCATTCTGTTTGCATCAACAAATATAGCTTGCTGCTGACGATTAGGAGCCAACCCTGCTATAACAACAGCATTGCTAGCACGTAAATTCATACCAGGAGGAGCAATTAAATTAGGAGGAATACTGAATATAGGCATTCCTTGTTGTCTCAAAAGCTCGTTTTCAAGAATAGTTGAACCCTCCTTTTCATGTCGATGACGAATATGTGCGATAAGATCACGCTGTGACAAGTAACTTCGCCGACATCCAGAAGTAATATTACGATTCCCTCCAAAAGAACATACAAATATCTGTCCAATTGTAGCTGGTTCAATCCTATCTATTCGTTCCTCGCATCTAAAAAAATTTAGAATTTATAAAAAAAAAATAACCTACAAAAAAACAACAAAATAAAATAAATATCAGAGGATTAAAAGTTAGTTTATCTAAATTAAAATTAATTTAAATGAACTTTATTAAAATAATGATAATTGTAATTTATTTGTTAATCATAAATAATTACTAGTTATGCTTAATAACTTGTAATTGTTCCTAATAGTTTCCTAATTATTACTTAAAATTAGAAATTAGTAACAAAAACAATAAAAATAAATAGAAACAATAAAAAATGTACCTTATATATATATATATATATATATATATATATATATATATATATATATATATATATATATATATATATATATATATATATATATATATATATATATATATATATAAGGCTGATAAGAACACTACTAAAAAGAATATTAATTCCTTATAATAAATAATAATAAACAACAGAAACAAATATGATGCTTTGTTCATGACTGATGCATCATATCTGTACCTAGTTTTCTTTAAAGTTTCTGTCCTAATTTTACTTTTTGTTGGTCATCTATAAATATAACCCTTGACATTTTTGTCACACAAATTTTTAATATTTTTTTTTTCCTCTTCCACAAATTTTCGGCAGAATTTATTTGGAATTTTAGTTGTTTTATGGAATTCTCAAACTGCTCCGTTACCATCACTGATATGTCTTGAATCTTATCCAACCTTACAAAAAAGCATTGGAAAATAAATGGAGCAGACATTACCTAACATTTGTTCATATCCGCTACTATTCATGTCAACAATAAATTTTTCCTTTTTAAGAACAATTTATTGACATTGGGACCAGCTATACTAATGGAGAGAATTGACTATGGTTGCTGCTGAATTTTCCCTAACATTTTTTAAAATGATCAAGGTCTTCTTCAGTTCACATCCCTACAAACATTGTCCCCAAGTACGATGTTATAATTTACTGAAAATGATTTGAATGGTACAAGGCATAAGCGCCCTATTTTTTTTGTCTGTAATGTAGTTGTTTCATCGAATCAGAATACGAAAAGCAAACATTCTCATTCAAAATAATTATTTTTGAACACAAGAGGCTATTCCAAACTAAATCATATATTTCAGTTAATCCGGTTTTTGTTGATTTTATTTTATGAAAATTTATTTTATGAAAATCCCGGAAAATTGTTTTTATAAAAAATCTGGAAATTCATGGAAAATTTCATGGTCAACAAATTAACGAAGGTATGTGGGTAAATTCTGGAACATTAATAAAGGCATAAATAAAGTGAGGGAGATGGGGCGTATTGATTGCCTTATCAGTACTTTTTAAAATGCGAACAACCCGATATAGATATAAAAACTTATTAATTACTAAACAAGAACAATTTGTCTTAAAGTAAAAATTATTCTTAAATTAAATTTTTTTTAAAATTATTTAAAAGTTATTAAGTAAAAATAAATATTTTAATAAAAAAAATTGATGAACATCAACATTACAACAACCCTTGCAAAAAATCAATGTAAGTGATCTTTTGATCACTTTGATCTTATGAGTAACATTATTTACATGTTTAATACTGCTATACCTAAGTGCTGCAAATGCTTTAGTTGAAAGGGATTAGTGTATATAATATAATTCATCTGAAAAAAAGTAAAATTATAAAAAAATATATATCATTGCAAGCTAATACACACCAGTACGTAAAGTTTTCATTAGAAGAATGACCACAATTGTATGAAAATAAGCCCATTATATACCACCAACATATATGTGTAAAGTTTAACAAAAATTGAAGCTTATAAAGTCTATAAGAATACAGTATTTTAAGTTTACAAAGAATATATAAGATTCTTACAAGACTTTTATTAAGATTAAAGTTTAGAAGATTATTATTTTATCATTTTATCATCATTTTTATCATCATTTGTCAAAGTCAAGTTGTGAAGCTGCATCTACTTTACATTGTTTTTCATTCCTAAGCAAGTAGTTTTTAACTTCTCTTTTTTTATCTTTTGTGATGAATTTCTTTTGTTGGTTTGTTGCTTTTAGGGTTTTCTTTTCTTCTGACAAACAAATTTCATTCCTGATTGGAGTATTAATTAAGATCCTTGTTTTTAGTTGCCTACTTTGAACACTTCTCTTTCTAGTAGATGCTTTCGGGTAAGGTTTCAAAACTTCACGTGAGAATAATGAAGCAATGCTTGGTAAAACTTTGTTCAAAAAACTTGTTTCATGGTGTTCTACAGATATTTCAGGCTCCATGCCATCAACATATGCTACAGTCATTTCAGGTTCCACAAGAATCATGTTAAATGCATTTGGAGCAGCATGATCTGTAACTGATGATGGTAAATATTCATAATCTTCAAAAATTTCTGGATTAAATGGTTTAATGCCAGTTACTTGAAATCCTTTCTGTATATTAGATGGTGAGAAAGCTTTTGTATATGGTTTGCAAACTATTGAAACAATATCGTAAATGGTAATAGGTCTTGGTTTTGTGAACATCCAATTGTCACACGCAACATTGTAAAACCTTTTCAATAGTCTAAAAACAGTTTTATCCAATGGTTCTAATTTATGGGTACAATAGGGAGGAAAACTTAGCATTGTAATTTCATGTTGAATTGCAAGATCCAAAATTCTAATAGAAATATGATTTTTAAGGCTGTCCAGAAGTAACAAAACTGGAAATTCATGAGAACAGTTTGAATACCTCACAAAATATTTTATCCATTCTATAAAAATGTCTGAATTCATCCAATCAGAAGGATTTACAAATCCCACGTACTCAGGATGACCTTCCTTTATCATGCAACCATTAAATTTGACCCTAGGAAAAACAAATACCGGAGGAATAGAGTTTCCAATTGCATTTGAAGCACAACATACAGTTATTAATGTTCTTTGTTCTGCAGATGTGATTCTTCCTACTTGTTTACTTCCTTTACCTGCTAACACTTTTACTGGCTTTTGTACCATTGTTAAACCAGTTTCATCAACGTTATATAAGCAATAAGGACCAAATTTATATTGATTTCTAACTGTTTTTAGATTTTTAAAAAAATTTTCTACAGTGTGTCAGTTAAAGACAGTTGATAGAGTAAAGCTAGTTGTTCAGGTGTTTGTTTAAACAACTTTGGTTGTCTTTTGATAAAATCTTGTAACCAACCAATCCCTGCAATTTTATTTTTGATCCATGATGATGGGATGATCTTATTATTTATGCAAACACATAAGCCAATAATCGTGTTGATTTAGTTGGAAGTCCATAGTTCATTTTTGATGCAAGTAGTAAATAACTTCTTCTAAAGTAAAAACTTGTTTATTGCTGTAATTAGGCTTAAAAGATCCATTTAGATTGACCTTCTTTTTATGACAAAATCTTTTTAAAATCATTCGATTTATGCTAAACTACATTCACTGCTCTGACCTCTAAAACTACAACATTCTGCTACAATCAACTGCTACAACATTCTGCTACAATTCAACTGCTACAACATTCACTGCTCTGACCTCTAAAACTTCATTAACAGCTGCTTTCATTGTATCACATGATATAGCAACTCTGTTTGTTGTTTTTTTCTATATTTATATCTAAAAATTACAAAAAAAAAAATTAAAATATTTGTTTAAAAAAAAAGTATTTTACATACTAATACTGCGTAAACTAATTGTAAACTTATGTAAAACCAAAAACTAATATTAATAATACTAGTTTTTAACACTATTACATTTTAAAAATGAAATGTTAAAAATTATATAAAATTTTTGAGTACCCTCCACCTCCCTAAAAGTACCTTTGCTTTTAATTTACCTATCCAACATTTTATGATATTTTATGATATTAACTTAGTGTCTTCTTACTTTTATAATAGACCACTTGCCCCCAATCTCACTTACGCCATTTGCAAACCCCCTTCCGCTCATCTGAGCATACTTTATGGGCGATCCTTTATACAAAGCAGTTGTTCTAAACATTTTCAAATTTTTTAAAACACAATGATCTTTAGATCTATAAACTTACAACTTACAATTTAATAGTAGGCTTTACTCCATTTGTGTAAGTACTACTAGTATGCATGTTATCTGGAGTACCGTATGGCAAAATAAATGTATCTATTTATTATTAAATGTATCTATTTATTGCTGTATGGCAATATAAATGTATCTATTATTTTAAGCAGCCGTGGCGCAGTGGTAGCGCACTTGCCTCAGAAACGTAAGATCCGTGGTTCAAACCCCACCTCTGGGCAAGTCTTGCGACATCGGTTAGGAAGGAGGCTTGAACTTCCTATTAAATGCTCTTCCGCGGTGCTCTGTGATAAGATCATAAGGACTTCTTGGGGCACCTAAATCAACTTAAAAAAGAAAAATTCAATTTAGTAAAAAAAGATGACAGCTTTGTTTGATATAGCTTCATTTGACTTAACTTTGCTGACTTAATCATCAATTAACTTCTTACAAAATTTCTAATATTCGAAAAAGTTTATTTTAATGAACTAAAAAGAAAAAAAATTATTGCAAAAATTGATCTTGTGAAAATTTTAGTTAAAGAAAACATATTTGCTTAAATGCAAACTTTATCGTACTTAAAACTTTGAGTAATTTTTTCGCAAATTAATAGCAAAATACATCCAAGAATTTCAGGAAACTTAAAGGAATTCTAAGTGAATTTCTGGAATTCCGGAAATTCCGCAAAAAATTCATCTATGTGTATTATAGATTTTTTATAAATTAAAACATTTCTAAATTTCTAAATTTCATATTAAATTTAGAAATATTTATTTTTAAATTTCTAAATTTCATAACAAAAAAGTACTTTAATAAACTTTAATAATTTATTTTATTAGTATTTAATTATTATTTTATGGTTTATATTAAAAAAAAAAAGTCTCAAATAATAAAATTTTCAACCTCACAGTTGGTGAAAAGTTTGAAATAAAAATACTTACCATTGTACAGCCAAAACAGACATTTTAAGTAATTTTAAAGTTTAAATGATTTTTGCGAGAAAATAAATTGTTTTTAAATAATTTTTTTTTGTGTATTTTAGTTACTAATATAACTATAATTGTTTTTAATCAGTGGCAATTGTGTCAGTCCACCCTGTCTGTCAAAAAGTTAGGTTATTACTCAATTAGCTGTCAATTGTTCAAAAGTGTGATTAGAGTAAGTTCAAAATTGATTTTATTTACTTTTTGGAACAATTTTTTGAAGCACTTGCAATTGCAAGTGTTTCAAAGTGTTTCATTTATGAAAAATAAAATTGATGATTACAGAAACAAAGTTTTAGGTATTGAAACAGGAAAAATAGGAATGTTTTAAATGGGAAACAAATAAAGTACTTAACTAGCCCTTTCAATTTGTTATTCAAATTTTGAGGAGGCACAAATGCATCAACACACAAAAATACCATTAATATCAAGGGTACTAGAAAAACGTGTTCAGCAACCGGAAAGAAGCTTGCACAGCTGAAGGGCTGTCACATGTTATAAACAATTAGTAAATCAACCTGCACATACATCAGCATCAAACAAAAACAATTTTTATCAGAATAAATCAACATTTCTTTATTGCTTCTACACTAATAAAACTTCACTCAATAAACCAAAAATTACTGAACTGCAACTAATAGCCAAAGAAAACAAATGCAATCTAATTTCCATAACTGAAACTTGGTTCAATTCTATTTCTGCCTCGCCAATCAATAACAATATGCTATTTAGGAAATCAGGTATGGAAGTGGTGTACAAATTTATGTTTAAAATAGTATAATGGAAAGATAACTAGAAAATTTACAGCTAAATAAAATTTAAAATGCAAAGTATCTGAACAACTATGTGTAATAAAATTACCATTAGAAAACTTCTATTTGGTTGTATCTATTGCCCTGAGAGGAATTTTTCAACTGCTTCAGTACAATTAAATGAAATAATTTGTGCTTTTGGTTACGCTAGATACTTAGCATATAATGGCTAAATTGTGAAAGGTTAACTTTCCAGACATAACTTGGCTACCTTATTGGAATAACACATCAGATAATGAAAACAGTCTTGAATACAGGTACAATGAAGTTCTCTGTAACAATCACCTCTAACAGCATGTTAAATGCCTAACTTTCAAAAAAACAGATGAAAATTTAACCAATACACTTGATATAATTAAATCAGAATAGATAAAATTAAAAATTTGAAATAACCTTGTCTTGATACAGCCTTTCAAAGAAATATATCTCTTAGTTGGCATAATTTAAGCAGTAGTAATCAATATAGTTTAAAAAATAAAAAAATTCCTTTATAATCAAGATAAATATGATGAATTTAAGTGTAAAACATCTTTAGATATATATAAATTGGCAAGTTAGGTTTATGAATTGCGATGTTCAAGAAAGTTATTTCATGTGATAATATGATAATATAAGGCATCAAATCAACCACAAAAAAAAGAGACAATCCTGAAACACAGATAAGTTAATGAAGCTAATCAGACTAAAAAAAGAGCTTTGGTACAAAGATGCAAAGTGGAAAAAAGCACCGCACATTAAGGAATATACAAATGTAAAAAAAAAAAAAAAAAAAAAAAAAAAAAAAAAAAAGAAGGAAAAAAACAAGTGAAATAGTGTGAGTCGAAGCTAGTTAACATTAAGCATTATCTTAAAAGATTTTTTACATATATAGTAAATGATAATAGTAAATGGATAGTGAGCAATCAAATAATAATCATTCAAATCTTTAATCATTCAAATCAAATGAGCAGCAATGCAGTAACAAAAACAAACATTCTGAACAATCTACTTCAATCAGTTTTTACAAAGGAACCTTTTGTTCAGCCAATAAAACCTTTTGCACCCGAAACAAAAGCATTAACTTATTTTAAATTAAAATATTATTCTCAAACACCTAAAATGCTGGTAATAAATCAATGGGCAATGTTAACATAAGTCTGTTTGTTTTAAAAACATGTGTCACATCAATCGTAGTTCCACTAACTTTGATTTTCTAACTTTCAATAAAATCTGGCAGTCACAGATTCTTGGCTCACAGCTAATGTTACACCTATTTATAAAAAAAGCAGCAGAGCTGTTCTAGGTTCTGTTTAAGACATTAAACAGTTTGTTTTTCAGTTCCATGCAAATTAATGAAAAAAATAGTTAGACAAGTCATAATTAACCGTTTGATAAATAACAAATTGATTTTTCACAAACCATTTAGAAAAATCTAATGATCCCCTTCCTCTTTTAGACAAGGTGCAAAAAGGAATTGTAAACATAGTTTGAACTGCTAATGCAACCAACCTCCAACCATTACACCACTACAACCATCACATCGTCGTAATGTTGCTTCTCTTTCTTTTTCTATAAATACTATAATGGGCACTGCTCTAAAGAGCTAGCATCTTTTGTGCCATCTAATAAAATTCATTCTCATGTTACTCATCATTCAACTCAAAATTCATTCTCATGTTACTTATCATTCAAAGTCTATTCATTTTACTGACTGTTTTTAAGTGCTCTAAAAATTCTTATTCATCTAGTTTTTTTCTTTAAACATCAGCTCTTTGGAATTCGCTTCCTTCATCTTAATTTCCTGATTCATATAATTTGCAATCTTTGTATTTTCAAAAGTTGTCTGTCAATTGTTATCTTGCTTTACAAACTTCATCTTTTCATTTCCAGTAACTTGCAACTCTAATAGTGCTTGCAGCCTTGTTGGAAGTGAAAATTGTTAAAAAAAAAAATTTAATTTTTTACTTATAATTTTGGACTCACATCAATCAGAGAAACCAGTCAACTTAATTTTATTTGACTTTGCAAGGACGTTTGATAAATTTTCACTGTTAGACTGCTGCAAAATCTTGAAATTTCTGACTAGATTGACATAACCAGCAGCATATTACTTTATGAACAAAATCAAAGACCACAGCACAAACAACAAAGTAGGCTGTGAAGTCACAAATTCCTAATAAGATCTTGTAATTACAATCTCTAAGAATCTTAAATATGCTCAGTAGTGCAACATAGCCAACTAAGCGAACAGCATGCTTTGAATTCTTAAACACACATTTCTTTCAAAAGACACTGACATATGGAAATAACTTTATTTTTTGAAAAAACTTTATTTAGACCACATCTGGAGTTTGTGATACAAACTTGGAACCCTTAACTTGTTCGTGAGGTGAAAAAATTGAAAAAGTACAAAAGCTCCTCAGAATTTAAAAAGTCAAGAAGACAAATCACGATGCCAAATGATAAACTTAACATTTGAAGACAGAAGGCAAAGAGGCAATCTTATACAACAGTATAAATTTCTTAACTATTTAAATATAATTGACAGACAGGTTAAGTCTGGCAGCATAGCACCAAAAGCTGAACATCGAATTGGATTTTATCCCAAGATTGTCAGGAACTGCAAAGTTAAAATTTTTTACAATAACCAAAAAAATGACTGGAATGCTTTGCCAGATAATATTATCAAGGCAACATCAGGTGAAAAATAAACAACTACAAGACAAATTTCAATTATTACTACAGGTCATCATTTACTGTAAATGACACACAGTGGCTGACATACCAGTTGGGTATAGATGTATATACTCAGTTGACGAAGGGCTTAACAATGCTGTGGCTTTGTGTAACTTGAATATTTTTTTCTATATTTTTTATTTTAAATATGTTATTTCAAAAGATATTAATAAAAAGACAAAAAATTGAAAATTTATTTATTTATTAGTAATTATAGCTTTTTTTTTTTTTAAATATAAATTTTATTAAACAACTTATAATCATACATATCAGGAGTAAACATTATTATTAAAAAAATTATTGTGACATCTGACCTTACACATTCGCCATTGCTATTCTCTGCACATGATAAACAAAACACATGTTTACATGGACTCTAAAAAAAGAGTAGATAACTTCATTTTACAAAAGCCAATAAAATATAAATAGATCAATTATTATTTTTACATCATCATTTAGAAAATCATTACATCCTTTGTAACCATTTGTATGGCAATTCATCAAAAAAACATCATCTTATATCATCGTTTGTATTACCGTTCATCAAAAAAATATTATCAATGTTATCATTTGTATTACCATACATTGCATCATCATCAGTTTAATTAGTTTTAATAGTTTTTAATTTCCTTTTTCCGAATTGAAATACAAAGTTGTAAATAAAGTTGTCTATAAAAAAATAAGAGCTATTCACACACTAAAAAAATTATAAATTATTACTTGAATTGATTTAAAATAAATATTTTTATAGCATTAGAAACAATTTGAAAAATGTTTGGATAAGTTCATGTTTGGAACTGTTACTAAAGTTTTTAAAAACAGTATTTTATTTTTAGCTAACTCATTTCTATTTCAAATAAAAAATGAAACAATAACCAATAACTTTAATCATGTAAGGTTATAACACAACATAGTGATATAACCTTTTGCTATCTGAACAAACTTATCAAATTTATTTATTTTACACAGTGTTTCATCAATAAAGATTGATCAGAAATGAATGCTCACATTAATAAGTTTCAATTTATAACAAAAATTATATTACAGGAAGTCGTAAATATCTTTACTATTGTAATATTTTAAACCTAATTAGAATTTTATACATTTGTGGAACATTTGTTAATATTATAAAAAGATGTTTCTGCTTTTTAAAATATATTTTCAAAGGGAATTCTTTTATTATAATTTTGTAATTTCACTTATTTTTAAAATGTTTTAAGAGAAACTTATTTCCTTCTCTCCATTTAAACATCAATTCTTATTTAATAAACGTGTAACTTCATATTTTCTTCATATTACTTGTGTAACTTCATATTTTCTTAGTAGGCATAATATACATTTTTTGGAAATTTACGCAGATGTTTATGAGTGCGGCATTAGAATTTCTTAAAACGCTCACTTAATTTAGGCTAGCAAAATAAGTGAGCAATTGCGCATATAAATATGCTATAGTAGATATATATATATATATATATATATATATATATATATACACAAAGGCTATTCTAGACCGTTTTCTACCGTATGCTAATATCTACCGTATTTGGGCACTGCCCAAGTTAAAATTTGAGGATCATTTTTTTTTAAATGCTTTTTTTTTATTTTTACGACAAATATCACGAAAAAAACGCTTATTTTCTGCTAAAGTCTGCCAAAACAGAGAGGTACCACTTCCTAATTTTTTTTTCCTAGAATAGGCCCTGATATATATATATATATATATATATATATATATATATATATATATATATATATATATATATATATATATATATATATATATATATAAACAACCCTTGGAATTAGGGTTGGCATTCGGCATTGCCGACCTGAAAGTGTTTGAGGTCGGCAAATTTTTGCTGACCTCGTTTCTATGTTTTATGGTCAGATCTTTGTAGCAAATAATTTTTGCCGCCATCATTTTTTCTAATTCCGAGGGTTGTGTATATATATATATATATACATATATATATATATATATATATATATATATATATATATGTATGTATGTATGTATGTATGTATGTATGTATGTATGTATGTATGTATGTATGTATGTATGTACTTCGAGCACTGTTTATATATATATATATATATATATATATATATATATATATATATATATATATATATATATATATATATATATAAACAGTGCTCGAAGTGGAAAAAAAAAGTATTAGCAGAGATGCTGTTACTTTTTTTTGTCAGAGTCCCAAAAGGACTCCTGCTTTATATCTCTACTTTTTTTTAAGTCTGTAATGTCCAGAAACTCTAAACATGTTTATTGACTTATGATCTACTATAAAAAAAAAAAATCATGAGATTTGATGACTTGAAACTTATTGTTTTTAGGCCCGGAGTCATAGAGTCCTGGAGTCCTTGCTGCCATTATACCTAAGGACTCCGGATTTAAAAAATGATTGTTTCTCTTACCTAAAAGTCTTTATTTCATATTAGTAGTCCATAAAAAGGTGTTGGGATGGTTTATACCTTATAAAAAGGTGATGGGTTGGTATCCCACCTTACTTTGAGCACTGTATGTGTGTGTGTGTATATATATACACTACCGGTCAAAAGTTTGGGTTCACTTGATAAATTTAATAAAATGCAAAAAAAAAAAAAAAGAAAATATTTTTCTCACCGTATGTATTTATTTATGTTTACAATAAAACAAAAATAGATAGTAGATATTTGATTTTGCTGTGCTTATATGAATACCCAAAGATATTTTTGATTGGTTAGTTACATTTTTCTCACATTTTTCTAACTTGCACCAAAACAACTAGATTGGGTTTAAATTAGGCGACTGAGCAGACCATTCTATATATTTTAGTTCTTCTTTTTTTTTCTTTGGCTGCTTTTAACTTTATTTAGTTTGTGTAGTATTAGTATTTTGGCAGCAACACATCCTTTCATGCCATAATTGTGAAGACATCATTTTAGGATTGAAACAGATACTGGTGTTTTCCGCATAAAATTAAGTTCTTGGCTAATTTCAGGAGCAGCTTAAGTAAGATTTCTTTTACTTTGAACACATAAGTTTGTCTTTGTAATTCACCATTGCTCTAGGCTACCCCGAACAATGACAACTCTGACTACAGTCAGTTTCATGCTTTCTTTGCATTGCTCTTATGACTGCATTTTGAGAAAAACTGGTTTTTAAAGCAACTTTCTGTGTTGAACAACCTTTCATGTGTAATGCTACAATAATAACAGCTCATTTTTCTATACTTAGCTCTGCTTTTTTATACATTATTCTTTAATCAAAACATTATATAAGTACTTTTCTTCAAATTTCAATGCTAGGACGAAATTCTTTAAATTATTAAAAAATGCATAACAGTTTTTCTATAAACATTACAACATTTTAAACATTTTTTGGATTACCTTTCAGGATAAAACACAACAGTGAAAAAAAAGTTTATTAAGGTAATATTACAGTAAAATATCTCCAACATTAGTTATCTCCAAACCAAACTCTTCACAAACGTGTAAATCTCTTTATGATCAAAATGTCATATTAAATGCTTAAAATTAATATTGCACTAGTTATGAATGGAAGAAGCTTCGATTTGAGTTAAAACATTGAGTCAAAGAATGAATCTTTAGTGTTGACATCGTGTATAAGAGTATATGTTATATTAGTCAGAAAACATCAATTAATACGCATTCTCTTAATACAATTGTTAATTTATTATTAGAAATTTTCGCTGGATTATATAATTTTAATTGATTGTATATAATTTTTACAAGCTGATGATGCTGGTAACCATAAATTTCTAATAATAAATTAATAATTGTATTAAGAGAATTCGTATTAATTGATGTTTTCTGACTTATATATATATATATATATATATATATATATATATATATATATATATATATATATATATATATATATATATATATATATATATATATATATATATATATATATATATATATATATATATATATATATATATATAGTAATACTAAATAAGTTCAAAGAATGAAAAGTAGAATCAAGAAAATTTATTAAGGTATATATTTTTTATGTAAATCTACAGATTTTTTTAAGTTGAACGATTATTGGGATATTCAAGGTTAGAAAAAATAATTTCTCATAATAGATCATTTAATGCTCCAATTATAATATTGAGAAATTACAAGCATCCACTTTTATTTGTAGTGAATTGTAAAACTTTAAAAATTAAGATTAAACATTTAAAGTAATAGATACTAAACTCTTTATATCGAAATAACATGTAGGACTTAAATATTGAATTAGATAAACAAAAGAACTTCTCACCAGTCTACCATAAATAAGAATCGGCAGAGTGCAGCTCTCACAAACATGAATAACAGGATTCTGTATCTTTTCACCAACAAACATTATCTAAAATATTCAAATAAAATTGTGGATATTTTAAATCTCAAATCAATATTCAAATTGCATAATTTTATAAACATCATTATCAATCATAGATCACCATTGAAAAAAAAAAAAAAAAAAAAAAAAAAAACAAACAACCTAAATAAATATTATCAGGTTACATAGTCTCTAAAATCTAAGATTTTACAGAACTTTATGAGGTTTTTACTATTTAATAAAATTTTTAATATTTTGCAATTGTTTTAATGATATTTAATATAATTTATTTCTTTTTATTTATAATTATAATTAATTTATTTATAATAGCTATTTATTGCTATTATAAATAAAGTAATTTATATGCTGATGATTCCATATTAAGAATAATCAGCAGCACCATCATTTTAGCTTCCTTGTTTTTGTGCTTGTATAGGTTGGATATTCTTCATATGCTGTTTCTTTAATATACGCAATCATAAGCATTCTTTTCTAACTGAAGCTTTTTCAGGTCATCTACAACACTCTTCAAGTTTTCTTAAGTTTTCATTGCAACATTTGTTCTAAGTTTTCCTCAATATTTTTCTTTCCAAAACTTTTAACTATCTACATGCTAATACTTGATCATCTTCAAGACTCAAGTTAAGCGATCATGAATTTTGATATCTGGAAATGCTTCCGGTCTTGAAATTTTTAGCGTTTTAAAAACCATAAACTCTGTTTTTATCACTAAACTGTTATTCAATAAAAAATATTTATATTGATATTTTTTTGAAAAAAAAAATTTGGAAAAATCAGGAAATCATTCTTCGAAAAAAAAAATCTGGAAAAATCTGGAATTTATTTCTCTCATATTTGTCTTAACTTAAATTTAAAGTCATGGCTTTTCCTTTTTTTATGGGTAATGACTTAAAAAGTTTAAAAACATATATGGCAAAAATATTTATTTAAACTTGTGTTTATAGAAGACTTTTCAGATATCCGGGAAAACAAAAAGTCGAAAAAAATAACCGGAATTTTGGATATATCTGGGAAAAGATAATCCCTGGATCTTGAATTATGATATAAAATCTGATTATAAAACCATATTATTACAATTATTTTTATTATAAAAATTATGTTTTAAAGTTTAATATTTTAATTTATTTTATAAATCATGAGATAAAAATAGAAAAATAAAGCATAAAGTACAATGTAATATTAAAAAACACCTGCCTTAATTACAACAGCCTAAAGGAATTTAGCAGGGACCAAATATTTTAAATATAAGAAATCCTGAAATAAGATATAAAATACTTTTATGTCTTATTTAAATTTCATTTATTTAAATTTCATTTTTTTAAATTTTATTTTTTTAAATTATATGCTCTTTAGTAAATTTTTAGCAGATATGCAAAATTAAAGAGTTTAAAAATATATAAAATCTAATTTAAACTTTTTTATGATTGTTAATTTTTTTTCAACATCTTCACTTCCAACAAGGCTGCAAGCAACCACTATTAGAGTTGAAAATTACTGGAAGAGAAAAGATGTAGTTTATAGAGCAAGATAACAATTGACAGACAACTTAAAAGATTGCAAATTATATGAATCAGGAAAACAAAATGAAGAAAGCGAATTCCAAAGAACTGATGTTCGAAGAAAAAAACTAGATAAGAGTTTTTGGAGCACTTAGGAACAGTCACTGAAAAAGGATAAGACTTAAATGAATGACCAGTAACATGAGAACAAATTTTAGTAAATGGCACAAGAGACGCTAGCTCTTTAGAGTAGCGCCGATTATAGTATTTGTAGAAAAGAAAATGAAAAGCAACATCACGTCCAACTATGCAGGTCCAACTATGTTTACAATGCATTTTTGCACCTTGTCTAAAAGAGAAAGGGTATCATAGGAAGATCTGCAAGGAAACAAGGAAGGTAAAGCACGCCAAAGAGATGCAACCTTAGCAGATGCTAATTTTGCAATCGATTTGATATATGGTTTTCAAGAAAGATTAGACGTAAGAGTTAATACAAGAATATTAAGGGTAGATGATTTATTGTGTACATTACTTTTCATAAATATATAGAGATCTAAATTATTGCAATAATTATTGGCTGAAAAAAATTAGTTTTTATTTTATTTTAAAACAAAACAAAAAAACTCTAATAATTTATTTTAAAACATATCCTTTTTATTATTATTTTAATTATCAATTAATTAATTTCTAGTTTAAAACATTTAAATTTTTAAATGAATAACTCCTCAAAGTTGACCCCTAAACAAAAATTAATTTTAATGTTTCATACAATGCAAAATAGCTCAAGTATAATTCTTTTATTAGTTGATTTTTAAATTAAAACAAAAAAATTTTGAACCTTAAGTAATTTTTGTTTTTTTCCAATAACTTTTTTTATTTATAATCTTTAAACTACCTGGTGATTAAACAATAATTTAAAATAAGTAAGTTTTGATTGATATTATTTTTTCAGTAGTAAATATTGTCTTTGTTTTTTTCATTAATTTTTGCAATACAATAAAATGACCATTTCATTAAAACAGTGTTGACAGTATTTAATAAACTGAGAATTTGATGACCAGAAATATTTTCAGATATCACAACTCACAATCACTTAATTCAAAGCTTGATCTGGATTTATGCTCTACATGCACAAACCACCTTAATCTTACTTGACGCACCGTATTAAATACTCTTACTAGGGTGTTCCATAATTCAATGGAGAAAATTTTTTTTCGATTTTTTCCGCTCCCTGGCTATTTTCCCATTTCTATTGTTTATATAAACATATTGTTAAATTTTTTTAAGCCTGAATTTTAAGGTTGCCACCGTGCAACCTTAGAATAGAATTTATGTATTTTTACTATATAAAAGCCTATATTTGATGTAATTTTTTATACCATACATTTTAAGTTGGTAAACACTAAACAAATATATCAACTAAACATATATATCAACAGAATTAATGGTAAGTTAAATATATTATATTGTTAGTGAATTGTATAGCAATTAACAGGATTGTATGTGGAAAAATGGTTATAACATGAATTGACATCTCAACTCAATCCCTCGTGCTACACTCCATTGACAAGTTGACTGTTGTTAAGTGTGGGTGTTTTATTACATTGTTCAGGTTTTTGATGTATCCTTTTATTATAACATTAAACAAAGGTAACAGTTTCTACTAGAATATATTATACCTAACTTTTATAGATTTTTATTTAAATTATAGTTGGCAGCCTTTTGTTAGCTAAATACTTTTACGTTGTTGATTCCAAAAATGGGTGTAATGTTACGTTTGTTTCCTTTGGATGGGTTTAGTTTTATCTTAATATAGTTTAAACAACTACCTAATATGAATACAATTTATATGTATAATATAAATATTATAATATAAATGAATAAAAAATATATATACCTTAACTATATTGTTAGTATATGATTGGTGATTGCTTTAGACATTTGTTTGCTGAATCAACAATATCGAAAAGAAGACAACAGTCACAAAATATTTGGTTGATAGGAAATTCTATCGATGTTCTGAGCCAAACAATTATCCTACTAATGGGGATATTTTAAAATTATTTTTTCACCCTAAGAACTGTGAATTTAAAACTGAGAAATCAATAAAATCAAATTCAATTGTTGCTGATGCAGTATGTGAAGCAGTTCTAGAAGTCTGGCATAAGACCGGTATTGGTTTCAATACCGGTGTAAAGGAAAGATAAAATCAAAGAAAAAATAACTAAATTGCACAATGAATAAAGGAACGTTCAAAAAAGAAAAGGCCAAAAATTAAATGAAACTAAACAAAATAATTTTGTAGCAATGCTTGAAAACTATTTTTTCATTGCCCACATCAACGCTTAAGAAACCATTCAGAAAGACAGACTATGGAACAATAAACAAAAGTGAAGACATTAAGTTTTTAATCGCGATCAAAGATAACAAAAAAGTAAAACTAGAAACACCAGATAATCAATACACAAAGAAACTAAAAATGAAAGATGAACGAACCAAAACAGAGCAAGAGAAAGCAACATTGGTAAAAAAAAGCTTAAAGAATTCAAATATTGAACATTTAAGTTCTTCTGAAAATGAAGCAAGATTGTGATTCATCCTCAAGTGAAGCAAGCATCAGTGAAATACTTGTGAAAAAAATGCAAAGTGATCATAGAAAAACCTTGAAAAATAATCAAACAACTGATATTGAAAATAAGATTCAGCTAATATTGCCAAAAAATCCATTCTTGAATCCAAACATTTGCTAAACCGCTGATAGGCTGAACTTGTCCTTGGGACAAAGAACAGCATTTTTGGGAGCTATTGCGAAGGAAGGAGGTGCTTCCTGTAGTAATGCTACACTATCAAAGATAAGTTCCTATAATGCCAGTAAATATAATCGCCAAGACATTGCGAAAAACATCAAATCTGACTTTAACAAACCGGACTTTCTAACAATTCATTAGGATGGAAAAATTATTGAAGGGGATAAGGATCGATTAGTAGTTTTAGTTGCAGGTGCACCAAATTATGTAGAAGGAAAGTTGCTGGGCATTCCAAAAATAATGAATGGGATAGGATTAAGCCAAGCAGTGACAAGCTTTGATCTCATTAAAGACTGGGAGTTGAACAAATCTATCATGGTATGGTATTTGATACCACAGCTTCCAACTCAGGATGGAAAAATGAAGCTTCTGTCATTCTAGAAAAAAAGTTGAATTCTAAGCTGTTTTATTTACTGTGTCGCCACCATATCTATGAGATTATTTTGTCGTCCGTATGGAAACACCTGTTTGGCCCAACAACAAGCCCGACCAATATAGAATTTCTAAAATTAAAGAACTCTTGGGACACAATCCCTCAAAAGAATGACAATTTTAAATTGCTGGACATAAATGAACGCTCGTTGAAATCCATAAAAGAAGATATGATTAACTTTCTTAAACTGTCCCTCCAAGAAAAAATATTTATAAGAGATGATTATAGGGAATGCATTTATGTCACGTTGTTACTCCTTGGTGAGAAAAATGTGAAAAAGGAAGAACAATGGCTTAAGCCAGGAGCTTTCCATCACGCTAGATGGATGGCAAACATTCTATATGCAGCTAAAATGTATGCATTCAGTGAGTACTTAGGTTATGATAAAAATATGATTCAGAAACTGCATCGCTTTTGCTTATTTACAAGCTTATTCTATTTAAAAGTTTGGTTGACATCTTCAAACGCTATAGATGCTCCTATCAATGACCTACAGTTTCGGAAGAACATGCAATTGTTAAAAAAAATTGACCCAGGAGTAGCAGCAGCAGCTTTAATAGTTCAAACAAAACACCTATGGTACCTAAGTTGCACCCTTTGCCCTCTTTTCAGGATCTGTGTCAACCCATGAAAAAAAGAAAATTGCTTCAACAGTTCTAAAACAAACAAACAATGAAAAAATGAAAACTGGAGAGCCAGTAATGCCACAGATGGATCAAAACTTGAAAGTGAGCTCTCTAATTGGAAAAAATTCCAGACTTCTTTTGATCTTTTGAAAGTAAATATTAAGTGGCTTTCACTATACCCCGATGAATGGTAAAAAAATTATGAATTTAACTACATATCTGGGATATTAAAAGACCTAAAAGTTGTCAACGATTTAGCGGAAAGGTCAGTTAAACTAGTTACTGACTTTAATCAAAGTCTAACACAGGATGAAAATCAAAAGCAGTGCCTTTTCCAAGTAGTAGAACAGCATAGAAAGAACATACCAAAGTTTGATAAAGCATCAATGTTGATGAAAAAGTAGAACTCTTTTTAATAAATATGTATGTAAATGCATGAATATAACGCTGTTGGACTTATTGGAACATCAGTTACCAACATTTTCTTTTATAATGGAAATACATATTTTTACAATTAATTCAGTTTTTATTTTATTATAATTTTTCTTTTGTAAATTTTATCTCACTTTTCTAAAGTCTAAATATGTTTTAGTGAATTTGAATCTAATATAAAAACATTTTAACTTAATATCTGTAACATTGCTTCCAATTGATTAGTTATATACAAATAATAAGGAAATTAAAGTTTTCTATAATTTTGTTTTGTTACTCATTTCATAAACGAGTAATTACTTGAATCAAACATTTATTTTTTATTTTGCATAAAGGTCTAAATCAATTAATTATACCATTGTGTTCTAGTAGCAATTTTTATGTTTAGAATAATAGTTGTAATCAAATTAAAGTATTAATTAATGTTCTGCATTATTATCCCAAATTCATGAATAAGATTAAACTTTAATAATTCATGATAACTTTAAAAGGCTGGTGGCAATATCAAATCAGCAGGTATTAACCTGAAATTTGAATAATGGTTATATCTTATCAAGTCAAATGGGAAAATTACCGGGGAGCTTGTATTTTCAAAAAAAAAAATTCTGAATACCCTAACTTTCACTCTTCCCTGTTTGTCTAGGAACAGCACTTCTTTTATCTTATATAAAATATTTAAATTATATAACTCATTAACTAATAGTGCAGTAGTGGTGTAGTGGGAGAGTGCTCGCTTCATAAGCGAGAGGTTCTGAGTTCGATCCTCACCACGTCCCTGGTAGTACCGCGCTCAACTCGTTTCTCTGCATAGTGGCCTTGTTCATCAAGGTTCATGTTTCAGAGTTATAGAGTTGAGAGAGGGTTATAACCACAAATAAGAAGCCTCCTTGTCTGTAGCAGCCTTTATGGCCTTGAGGAGGTGAGTTAAAGAAAGAAAAAAAATTGATTACAATCATTTTTTTGTGTGTTAATTTTGTGTGTTAATAATGTTTCAAAAAGTCCTAATGTCCTTATCAAAGAGCACCATAGAATAGCGTTAAACTCTAACCACAACAGCTTTTTTTTTCTTGTCACTTTTCCGACTTGCCTAATTTAAGTAGGTCTTAGAACACCATTGGTTAATGTTTCACTTGCGTTACATGCCTTCCACAACAACACAGCAACAGTCTATGTCATTTATTTCATTTTACCTGCTAAAAAGCTTCTTGGCATACTCTGTAATAATAACAAATATTAATGCAGCATCTTGACAAATCAAACATAAGAATTAAAATACTTCTAGAAAAAACTTGAAATAATATAGTTTATATGTTTATGACTTATATAAACAATATTAATTAATTACGAAAAAAATTTCATTAATAATTTACATCTAAATAATATTATTTTTGTTTTTCTTTTTTTTTCAATAATTTTTTAAATTTCATTTTAAACTTATTTCAAATTATTCTTTTCTTTCTGAAAAACTTTATGAATGTAAGTTCGCATCTTAAAATATACACATATACAGAAATCAAACACACATATATAGAAACTTCTGTTACCTTATGAGACCAATCCAATTCTTCATTTTCTCTTTCATCTTCACTATTTTCTCTTTTTCTTTCTGACTTATTTCTTCGAGATAAATTCTTTCCGTCAAAACTTTCTAAAAAGAATAAATACAATAGACACTTTAACAAAATTAAACTTCTTTTTATCTATAAACACTATTTGTTAGGGTGTCCCAAAAAAGTTGTTAGATATAAATGGCCACCCCCTAGAAAGTTTTACATAACTAGACACATGCAAATTTCACGAGTTGAATAAAATTTAGGGGTCCCCTAAGGCAAATTAATTTAAAATTTTTAGGCTTGATTTGAAGCGATTGTTAAGATGGATTTGAAGACTATGTGAAGCAATTTTAAACATATTCAATATATTTTTTATATAATTGAAATGCTTTAAAAACAAAATTTAGGTACTAATCTTTTATCTTGAAAACTATAATTTTTAAAAACTAGTATATTTGGATATTTTTTCATCTTTTGTTTTACATTTTCAAAAGTTCATCTATCTCCAGTGATGAAGTTTTTTCACTTCAACAACTTGCAATAAATACTGTTTTTAGACTTCATTTTTCCATGTCATGTCATGTTGAATGATTGCATCAGTGGCACTCCTCATTTGGCACAATCATCGATGCAAGCCAAGTTGTAGACAAAATGCAAGGTGTCCTTCAATGACTGACATTGTGGCCAAATATCAACCAGCAAATTGAGAAAGTTATTGTCGATTCCAATTGTGCTAAAAAACTTGCAAGAAATACGCAAATCTGAGATATTTCGAGGAGAAATCTTGATCAAACGTGTTCCTCACTCAGGTGTCATGGTACCTACAAAATGTGTTTTCTCATCTGCAGTCAAGAACTTTGACAAAAGAGCAACTGTTGCAAGTTCCTGACTTAAGTACCAAGATTGACATTGCATCATCTTGAGATCATCTTGAGATTTTCATCACCAAATTCTTCTAGTCGTTGGATCAAATAGATATCATTAATTTAAGCATCCACAGCAGATCCACTGCTAAACCAAGAATGAACATAGATTCCAATCACAAAATGGTTGAAAGACTAAAAACCTTGAAATTCATTGAAAATGAATTTCAAGGTCTTTGAAAGACATTGAAAATAGTGTTAATTTAATAACATGCTCCTTATCATCAAACAGAAGCTCCATCTTCAATTAATATATGGCTTTCGCCATCCAGCAAGCTCTGTGGAGCACACCAGGTTTCCAAATTGCTACCAAATTATCTAATCCAATCAAAATTGCTACTAGGTTGAGAAATTCTTGGTAATTTTCCTGAGGATGATTTGGGGATATCAGATTGGATATGAATAATTTCAGTGCATAAGTGACAGAAAGACAAGGTATTGTTATTTGACAAGACTGTAGTGTTTTAGCTCAGTCCAAATTTCTCTAAATCTTTTAAAAACCATTGTTTCAGGCCCAGAAGATGGTCCAAGACTTTGTATGATCAGCCAACAGCACTTACATCTGATGCTGGCATGCCATCCACAACAAATCTCATCCATGTGTAAACTCAAGAAGACAGAAAGCCCCATTCAGTTGTCCTGTGTTGGATGCGGTGGTATCAAAACACATACCAACTATAAAAGAATTGGATTTTGATAACTTGAGATGATCAACTAAAGTACCAGCTGCTGTCTTGCCCAACCTGGATGGTAATGGAGGAACCCCTAGAAGTTTAATTGTGTCATCAACAAGTGATGATACTAAAACTTGAAGTCTGTTGACTAGTTTTCCTGATACATCTAGCAACATTTTCCCATCCCGATGCACCACAGATTTTGTATTATTATAATTAGCTTTAATTTCTTAAACAGCTTCTTCTCAATGACATTGACAATGGACAGTACTTTTTGATAAAGGAACAGAAGAAGTTAAGCACCCTGCTTCATTTACAAGATGCTAAAATCATTGTTGACTTTCTAATGCTAGCGTTTATTTGATACAGTACAGCCGAAATAGATGGTTATATCAGATTCTTCCACCTTTGTTCTGGGATTGCAAGGTGCTTTTGGTTCAGTTTCAAAGTCTTCAACTTTGTCAGAAGGTGAACTATTATTGGAGGATGTAGAGAATCGAGAGATCTTCAACTTCACTTTCTTCAGATGATGATTAGTTCTAAGTTTCATCATTTGTTTTTACTGCATTCAATGAACATTTAAGTAAACGTTTGTGACACTCAAGACGCTCGGCCATGTTGTTTTTCTTTTTCAGATAGATTTTTGTCCAAGGTTCCGATTGTTCGAGTTTTAAATTCCTGCTGCATTTTTAAAAACTCCCTATTCTTTTCAATATTTATTAATTGATTTGAATTTGCATTGAATAATTTGTCTGTCTTTTCAGTGTATCGACTCTGGTTTCCTTGATCTGTCAGACTGTTTCTTTTTTTATGTTTTATCAAATTAATTTTTTCTCCATACAAATCTCTGATCTTATTTATATGTTTTTTTGTCTTATTGGTAGTCAAAACTTGTTTCAAAAGGGCAACAGTTAGTCATAAACACAATTAGCACTTTCATTGATCAACAGTTTCTCCAAACGGTAATAAAATATAAAATTACGCATCACGTCCCGACCTGAAAAAAGTTAAGCACCAGATATTGTGTCACAATGGATGCCTAATTAAGAATGTTGTCATTGCTTCTAGTAACATTTCCTTTTGACATGTTACTAAGAAATAAAATTAAATCTTACTCAATAATAACACTGGAAAGATTTTATTTTCTGAAGCATTTACCTACTGTTTCCAGTTTTGTTAGAAATTAATTTTATACAATTTTTAAATTACCTTTTAGTCTGTACCAAATCTCATTAATGGTAATGATGTTAATAATAATAGAAACCAAAATATAAAACTTATCATACCACAAAAATATCATACCACATGGCATCCTAATGTATAACATTGCGTAATAATGTTTATTTTTAGCCAAAAAATTGCCCAAAAAATAAAGCTCTAGATAAATTTATACAAGCAGAACATTATTGCTTAATATTTATTAGTCTATTTTGGTTTGACTTGTAAATATTTATATGTATAGTTTGTATACGAGTTATGGGTAAATAGTCAACTTTGTAACTTTTTTCGAAATACCTAAATGTTATTCAAATGAGATATAACTTCACACATATGAACTACTAGTAGAGAAACTATCTAAGGGGTGGCCATGCAGATAGTTAAAGTTTAAAAATATAAAAATAATTCTGGAACGCTTTACTATTTGCATATTTTAAAGTAATAAGAATATTTCAAGGGAAAATAGATATCCTTCAAGAATATCTATGTTCCGGATGTTCTATATCTATCTATAATCCAGAGATCTCTTAGACAAAAAACTTATAGTCAAAAGAGCTTTTATTGGAAAACTTAAATAGAAAAATTTTTACTGTTTTTCTTTAACTCCTCTTTTGCAACCCATATTTATTTCATCTTATTTAAAATCAAAATTAGAACATAAATTTTAATAAATTATAATAAATAAAAAATTAACTAGAGTAATGGCTATTATTTATTTTAAAAACTTATTGCAAGATTAAATTCCAAGAGGTCAAGATTTATTACCACAGATGTTTGATGCTAAAACTGTTGAAACTAGAAAATGGCGGCAACCAGCATAAGTATTATTTATTAAACTCCAAAACGTCTATCTACATTAAATTACATCAACCAGTATATCTTTCTGTACACTTACATATACCTAAACCTGTGTTAGTCAATGTATGTATATTTATATATTCCATTCTATCAGCCAATATATTTAACTGAAAAATGAATTTGCTTAACTTAAATAAAAAAATTAAATGGTTTCATTATCATATCATAATTAAATGGTATTTTGAAAACTATTAAAAATTTTATTACTATTACACTTTTAACTCACTGTTAAAAAATTGTGACACAATGAAACAGTTTTACAATATAAAACAAATGCTTTTAATATTGTGTCTTATATGTAGTTTAGCCTTTTATTGTGTCTTATATTTAGTTTAGTTTAATAGATTTTTCAATATTTTATGATTATATGCTTCTATTTATAAACTAATGTCAAATAGCAAATTTATCATACAAAAAATCATTCTTAGATTTTTATTTTATTTTATTTTCCAAAGGACTATAAAAAAATATTAGGTTAAGGAGATAGCTACATTTTTTTTAAAATATTGTTATAACCCTACTTAAACATTACAATTCGAAAACACAAACCACAAATAAGCTTCTATGCATAGAAACAAGTTGTGTCTAAAATTAAAAGGTAAATATTAACATTATTAACATAATTGTTAATCAATATGGGGTACCATATGGAAACCTTATGTATATTGAGTGCACTATTACACACAAATCTTTATTTAAAATATTCTAAATATAAATATAACAACTTTAAAGATTCCTTCTTACCTTCACTTCGCCCATCATCTCTTTCTCTTTTTGATCTTGATTTATTAGATTTAACTGATGATTTTGTTTTACTTTTTGTTTTCTTTGTTAGATTAAGGTTAATCGATTTGCGGACATTGTGAGGAGCACTTGATAAAGGATTGTCTTCAAGTTCGAGATCTGAAAAAAGATTTAAACGCAATCTTAGGTATTAAATTATATTTTCCACTTTTTTCTTTAACTTTTTGACAACTACTTTTTTTAAAAATATTTGATTCTTTTCTCTTTATTAGACTTTTTATCTATTTTTTATTAACTTTTTCCATACTCATACTCTGCATAGTGGGTAATAAAATATGTTGTAAAAAAAACCAGTACACAGCACTGCAGTGAATGAAGAATTTTGCTGTCAACTCTGGGTAACTTTAGTGCTTAGCCCAATTAAAACTAAAATTAATTTTCTGCAAAAACAACATGAAAATAAAAATTGTTTTATTTGCATATATTCAAATTTAGCAATAAAAATATGGTGGTTCTTTGATGATATGAGGTTGAAACAATATCTTTACTATTAAATAAAGCAAAAATCTGCCAAGTGTTAGTTTTGCAAATAAGAACTCACTTAAAAACAATGATAATAATAGTTGAAACCTTCGTCCTGTCAATATAGGAAAGGAAATTAATAAAGATGTTACTGTTGATCTAATGAATTTCCTTGAACTTTTACAAGAAGATTTAAAAGTTACAATTGAGTAAGACCTAACTTATCTTTTTGTTGTTAGTTAGAAACCAATTAGAAACCAAGGACAATTTTTTGATGCTAATCCATTCAACATGTCTTATTATGTGGGAAGAAAAAAATTTTGCAGAAATTAAAACATTAGTTGCTGTCATTTTTCTAATGAGAGTTATTAACAAACTCAACACTCATAATTTCTGTTAAGTACATTCAAATACCACTTTCATAAATTTTCTTCATGACTCAATTAAGTTTATGTTATTGTCTTTAACAAAGCTTAATATAATACTTGGTTTCGATAATTCTGTACACTAGCTAACTGGGAATTATTTTCCAGGAATCAAACACATGCTGCAAAAAACAGGTATCTTTCTAAAGTATCCAGTCACAAGGTATTCTTAAAAACAATGGGAAACTACTAAAAATTGTGTAAGCAAAAATTGCTCATCTAAGCCATGGCTACATAATGAAAGCTGCTTTGAAATATAACAATGTTAAATTTTGTGTAAAAATCACTATATATATATATATATATATATATATATATATATATATATATATATATATATATATATATATATATATATATATATATATAATGTTCTTTCATTATATATATATATATAATGTGTTTTTCATTATATATTTTTCATTATAATTTGTTTTCATTATATATATATATATAATGTTCTTTTTATGACACATCTATTTTTCTTGTTTTACGTCATTTTATGAAGAAATTGTACAATATTTGATAATTTAGACCAAAAGATATACTAACCTATTATATAGAACAACTCTTGACAAACTATTTAAAATTTGCAAATTATCAAAATTATATACTATACATGTCTGTTTATTGTCTCTTAATATGATTATCTAACAAAAGTAAAATTCATTTTTACCTAACTGAATTAACAACAATAATATTTTTTTCAATTTTCAAAACCTGCCATTATTGATCTAAAGACCTGATTGATTGATATTAGAACATCAAATATATGTTCTAAAGGACATCAAGGGTTCTGACAAAGATGAACACTAACAGCGTGCCCATAAATTAAATTAAAATTATAAAACCATAAAAACAATTATAAAATTATAAACTAACAAATAGTTAATCCTTTTAGAATAAACTTTTGACTTAAAAAAAAATAAAATCAACCTTTTTGACTTTTGAAGTCAAAAGAGTTGATTTTATTTTTAAATGATAAAACGCTTTTTGCATACACAGCTTCAAGGTCAGCGACTCAGTAAGAAAAACTATATTTTCATGAACCCAAGTGAAATTATCAGGAAAAAGATAATCTCTGCTCATTATCAAATTTAGAAAAAAAAAAAGTTATTCTTAATTGTTTTTTTTAATCAATATGATTAAAAAAGCGCCTTCTCAGAATTAGTTTTTTAAAAATGGTTTGTTTTACCCAGTGGTCCCAAGATGTGTTTTAAATACTTAAATTATGTATTTTATACGTCACGTGCTTGCTCGACTTTGTTATAAAGTGTTCTTATGTTCAAAATAGCAATTTCACCTACAAGTTAAACAATTTATATTAACATAAAACTTTTTTCATTTCAATATTTAAAGTGTTTTTTGATGTTTAGTGTTAGTTGATAGATATGCTGCATTTATTTAAATTAATTTAACTATTGTGAAAAACATATTAACCTCATTTGTGAAATAAATTAATTTTTTGATTAAAAAAAACATTATTTCAATTAAATATGATTTTGAAAATTTTAATTTAACTTTGAAAGAATATAAAATGGTTTTGGAATACTTTTTAAATATATAATTATTTCTTTTATATTTATAAACTAATTTATTACATAAAGAAAGACCTAATCTGTAAAAGCAACCATAAAACTTCATTTTCTGATTCAAGAATACTGCCGTGCTAAGCGAAAAAGCAGTATCTCCAATTTTGGTCAAAATTGAGATATTGCTACCAATGGTTAACAATGTCGTTTTATACCATTTTTCGCAACAAAAAAGCAGTATATCCAATATTTAACATTGAAAATGAGCATTTGAAATTTAGAAAATAAACAGTAAGCCCATAATTTTTGTGAAACTAAGAGCAAAAATACAGTAAATCCCAATAAGTAGCAAATAAGCAGTAAGTGACGTGGAGTTACTGTTATTTTGCTTATTTTCAAAACATTTTAATCTTAACAAAGTTACGATTAAAATGTTTTGAAAATGAGCTTGTTTAGTCGATTTCCCAACATTTTGCTTAGATGGAGATACTGCTTTTTTGCTTAGCACGGCAGAATAGAGAAGTGTTTTTTTTTAAGAGAATTTTTTTCAATAAAGGAATTAAAATATTTTATTTATTATTAATTCAAAATCACTTTAATTTTGTATGACATAAGTTTTATTTATGAACACAAATTATGTTTATAAATATTTTATTGGTAACAAATCAAATATATCTATAAATTCTTAACAATCATTATTAAAAACTTTTCATTAAATAAATTATAAAAAAAAAAAAAAAAAAAAAAAAGAAAAAAAAAAACTAATTTGTGATAAAACAAACTAAAGATTATTGTTATGTATAAAACAATTTTTAGAAATAAATAATAAAGTATAATCTTTTTTAATGAATTAAAATTACTTTATTAATTTTTGTTACAGTTATTGTTTAAAAGATTTTAACACAATTTCAATTAAATTTAATTACAACATGGTACTTTAAAATACACTAACCATACAATTTAACTTTTAAAGAAATAAAAACCATTCCTTAAATTCCATTAATATACTTTTATACTATATATTTTATATATATATATATACATATATAAACCATCTCGCCACCTTTTTATAAATCTCTATATATAACAATGATTAGACGGGAAGGTATTTTTTATTTACTGAATACCATCCTGTTACTTCTTTTTCTCCACTTCGAGCACTGTATATACATATATATATACATATATATATATATATATATATATATATATATATATATATATATATATATATATATATATATATATATATATATATATATATAATATATTATATTATATATATATAATATATATATAATATATTATATAATATTATATATATATAATATATATGTATAATATAATAACTTGTAATCAACATGGTTTCCTTAACAAATGTTCCACCTGTACTAATCTTTTAAAATCTGAAAATGATAGGAACAACACACTTGATAACCATCAAATAACCGATGTTGTTATGATATGCATTAATCATTCTTACCAAGACATGACAACAAGTGCATGTCAGTAAGTTGGGTCAATAATCAATTGGATCTGCAGTAGCTTCTTTTATTAAAACTGGAGTTACTAATGCTTCATGCCATTAGTTAGGCAAAAAAATTAAGCATCAGATATATTAAAGTGGAATACACAACAAATGAGCTAATTTTTCAGTAGTATGCCATCAAGACCATATGATATGCTGGCTTTAATTTCCATTAAAGATTTATTCACTGCTTTTGGTGTAAAATTTACAGTTTCAATATATATACTGATTTACTAACACAACTATTAATAAAAGGAGAATGATTTTTATCATTTGTAAAGCCTAAGTGTTTGTTAAGCACATCAGTAACTTCTTGAAATAAGCATGTTATTATTGTTTTTGTCTTTTAGAGGAAAACATTTTTCAAAATATAGTTTGTTATTAACATAATTAAAGAATTTGCTGCAATTGGTATCTTTAACTAGTTTAAACCGGACTCTCATTTGATAAATAATGTTTCTTTACATTTACTAACATATTTATTATATGCTGTTTTGTTTGTAATGCTTTTAGTAATCAACCATCTTTTCCATGAGAATACTTTTGGGTTTAAAATTTTTTTAATCAGAACATATCGATAAATACCATTTCAAAAATGATTGGAGAAAGTCATAAGTTCAATATATGTCAAATTAAGTGTGGAGTAAAAAGGTGGGTATTAGCATGCGATTAAATGAAATTACTTGAGCTAAAACTAAAGTCTACACAAACAATGTCTGTTTAATGTCTGTTGATGATATCCATGTCTGTATAAGCTATTAGTACTTGCTCCAATTTAACGTCATTTCTACAGTAGATAGCTCTCTCATAAAGTCTCTCCTGACTTTATGCAATCCATACAATAGATTGAGCAATCTTTCAGACAAACAAGAGTCAGATAATTTACTGGTAAAAAATGTTTCTCAAATGCAAATTACGGCAGGTTTGTTTGCCTTTGTAAATAAATCAAATTCAAGCTTATTTGCAAGGCTTCTTGCATTGAAAAGAAAGTGGACCACTACTATTATGTGATGAATTTTCAAGTTCCAAAATACAATGACTTCAACGATTTAACTTTTTATCCATTTACCTCTTAATAACTTACCTTTATCTTTCGGCCTCAGTTAAATCAGGGTTATAAAAACACTTTTAAACTCACTTAAATTTTTCAATAATTTCGCTGCTTTTAAAATAGAATTACAACTTATATTAATATTTAAAACAATAACAAATAGGGGCTTCCAATCTGTTTTCGTTTTGAACTTTGTTATTTGCTAAACTTCAACTTTCAGATTAACTAAATCAAAACTTTCTTGGATTGATTTGAATTATTAGATTGGATTGAAGTATTATTACATTATTTTTACATTTCTTCCTTTTATTCGGCTGTAACAAAATTTATTTGGTGTAGTTGCTCTTCTGTTGTTTTTTTTTTAGAATTTCATAGTCCTCTATAGTCAAATTGCTATGGAAAATACCAAATGTTATAGAAGCATATATTTATCCTATAATCACAACAATGCATTTGTTAAATTTAAATAACGTCATTTAAAATCAGATTAATTTACAACACCTTTAAATTCAATGTTTTCTGATTAGGGTACTTATCATTACAGTTGTCGCATTAGAAACAGTATAAAATCTCATTAAGATTACAATTTTCACTGCGTTCTCCAGCGTTCTCATTTATAATCATGCTATATTATTTGCAATATTACACAAATTTTTTATTTTGTTTTACATTTGAGGGATAAATTAACTATAAAAGGTAATGTCACAATACTAATAAAGAAACAGAAGAGAAATTCGAATAAAAATAACTATTGTTAAATTAGAAAAATATATATATAATCCGACGGTTAAAATATTCTAATTAAAAAGTTAAATAATATGTATTCTAATATTTCCAATAAACCTGTTACCTGTCATGTTATGGTCCATCTCTAATTTTTCACTCTAGCCCAAAAGCCGTTACCGCGCTAGCGCGGCACTTTTCAAGTAAGTTTTGTTTTTAAATTTTAGTTTATTTTTGGTATATTTAGAAAATGTCGCTAGTACAAAAAATAGATCACCAACTACTACGGCATAGGCAAAAAACAAATTATAAGCAGTGTTAGATCTATAGTTACAAAATATTGTTTTTTTGTGTATGACTTTCAAAAAACTGTACAACTTTTTACAGAGGAGACTAAAAGTTTAAGTTTTAGCTTGAAGTTCAACTTCTGCAAAAAAAGGTAAATGGACCTTAAATAAAGCAACACAGAATCCGAACTTTTCTGTTAAGTACTGAAAGCGCTGAATAACCTGAATATAGAATTTATTGTTAAGTCTTTAAGAAAAAGATAATACACGTAATCCTTATTGAAAATTCTAAACTAACAAGACGTTGAAAAAGTATCTACTTGCCATTAACAAACCTTCTTGAAACAATTTTTGAAGCCCTTCTGAAAATAATTTTGAAGAACGATAAAAGTGTTATTATTGAGATTTTATATATAGTGTTTAAAAAATGTGAGTACAAAATAAATCCAATTTTCTCGAAATTGTCTTTCAAACTACTTAGCATTTTGAGGTGTTCACCTAGCATTTTGAGGTATCTAGATACAGATATCTGTTAATGATAACACCACTAAATTTTTATATTATAACAATACGAGCACAAACATTGTTGCCATATGTACATTCTTCCTTACATTTACAGAATGCCTTAATTTGATGTCCTGTTTAGATTTATTTTTTGCGCCTTTTTGGCTTTTTTTTTCCTTGATTGTTGAAACCAAATTCAATATTTTATTTCCCTTTATTGAGCCGTGAACTTAGGTAACTCTAACATTTTCTTTGTTTACTTTAGGTTTTACCTATTTTATAGGCAACAAATTAGGAACTTCTTCAAATGATTTTGATTTATCGGCTATTGTTTGACAAGATTAAATGGCAAGTTCGTATTTTTGTTTCTAATAATTGCCTGTTAGCCGTGAGAAATATGTTTGAAATGTGTTTTTTATAATTGACTTATGCAAAAGTTTAAATATTTCATTTGTCAACTATTTTGATCCAAACTTATGGTATAGTTCTATTTATAATCCAAAAATTAACATTATGATTAAATAACTTTTTATAATTAAAAGATTTTTTTCATTCATCGATGTAGTTTTTTTCTTAAATGATGCTTAATATCGTATTTAGATGTGATCTCAGTGTTGAAGCTTTTATCTAGAGTTTCTATTTTAGGCAACTTTGCTGCTTTTAAATGAAAATTGTACCTTCATTTTCATCTTCGTTTTCTACCCTACGTGTCTTTTAAACGTTCTTTACGGAAGAATGTTTAGAAAACGTTCAAAACACATTTAAAATACATTTAAAACGTAACTTTTAAAAACAAATGTCCGCTGGGTGTCTTTGTTTTTTTAATAATAAACCTAAATGAATTTTGACTTTCCTACAGATTGGCTAAAAACTATATTTTTATTTATATATATTTTAATGTTTTTTATTTTATAGATCTTAGTAACTTTTTTTGCCCAAAAATAAATTTTTGATATATTATATTAGATAAAATTGCGCTTTAAATCAAATTCATCTTTATTCAGGTCTTTTTATAGCCTATTTTAACGATTGTTACATATTTTGGAAAGAGGCAGCAGATTTTTGAAAGAGACAGTAATATTATAACAAGCTTTAGCTTATTTAACTCTATATTTAGCTGATGACGTAAAAAATATATATACTGGTGCTACTAAATTAGTAAGAACTGCTTGTAAAGCTTTTTATTTTAGGAGTAATTAATACTTTTTTAATCTTTTATCAACTATCACAAGCATGGTATAGTTGATAAAATTGATTACCAGGGTACTATTACAGACAATTTAATAACAGTATTCTTAACATGTATCTGTTTTTGAATGTATCGATCTGTTAAAAATGAAATTTTCAAATTTAATATTTGAAGATTGATTGCTCTCGATAACACAGCAGATATTAAAAATTATTTGCTGCTCTTTTATAGTTGCTCTGCATAGACATCTGCTGATTAACTCCACGGAGATAATATAACTTCACGGAGATAAATATTGACATCATTCTGATAATTCAACTAAAGCTGCAGAGAATGATGAATGAAACATGTTTTATACTGACAATGTATAAAAGTGATTTGAGCACTTATGCTCTTTTAGGTAACCAATTCCTTTTTCTTCATAGTCTTTTTTATCTATTGCAATACTACCAATGTCAGAGGTATTAATAAACTTTTTTGCACCATACCAAGCATCCTTTAAACAATCTTTAGCTTCATATATATTAAATTCAGATTGAAAAGGCAAAACAGCCATAAGATCTTGTGTCAAACGTTCTTTAAAACCCTTAAGTTTGGATATACCACCAGTAAGAAATATATTTTTTATCATTCTTTGTTGAGTTTCTTTATCATAGTTTTGCAAAACATAGCATATACTTGAGACTAATCCATCTTGTTCTATTCCAACTATACTTGGCTGAAATAATATTTCAGGTACACGTGTAAGTTCAGTTATTAATGGTAATTGCTGAAATTTTTGTCCTTTACTAACCATAAGCTTATTTAGTAATAATTGATAGTGACCAAGATTCTGTTTTATTTCTGTTAATTTCTCATCATCCTGCTCATCTTCTGAATCATCACCATCTTTACTTATAAATTTATAAACATCCCAATCCTCATCTTTCATTCCAAAAGTATCTTCTTTTTCTATTTTTGATGAGCCATTATTTGTGTTTTTACCACTTTTTGCTAACTGGCTTAATATACGCATACGTTCTTTTGAAGCATAGCTTTTGCGCTTATTTAGAGCTTGTTTTCTTAAGTTTCTAGAATATTTTCTGTCCATTATCTCTAATGACTTATTTTCTAGCTCGTCTATAAGTTTTTCCACATCTTCAATTGAAGTTGATTCATTATTTTTTGCAACGAAACTCACTCCCTCATTTAACTCTCGAAAATATTGTACACTTTTTTCTTCTCGCTCTGAAATTTTTTCTCGTAAACTTTGAATTACACTTGAGAGCTGTGACTCATTTTTTAAACCTTCCTCTACTAATTTACTTTTAAAATGAGACTGACTTTCTTCAGCTAGTTTCATAATACACTCAAACTTACGCAGTTCTTCTCGTTCAACTTTAATTTTTTCTTCACGTTTCTTTTGGTTTATATCTTTTAATCTTTGGGCTTGTATTCTACGCATCTCAAGCTCTTTTTCATTAGTTGCATTAATAACTGGAACTTGTAAGCTTACACTATTTGATTCTGCATATTGCTTATTTTGCCACTTTTTAAGTTCTTCTGCATAATTACTTGCAACATATGCATGTTCAATCAAAAGATTTTGAGATCCAGAAAGATTAAATAAGGCTGATTGATTAGGGTATTTTAAATGCAGAAGTCTGTTCATATAAATCATCATATTTAAACCACCTAAATTTAAACGCCTGCATGCAACAGCATCAAACTTAGAGTTTAAAATAGGTAAAACATGACTAGTTTGGTATCCACATCGAATTACTATTCCATCTTGCAAATCAGGCTTATTATAGTTCAGACTAAAAAGACAGTCAATACCATACACAATTTTAGGTACACAATAACCTTCAAAAAGTAATTCTGTCATATTATGTCTAAAATTATTTGGAATACATATTGCTTCAGATATACAAATAGGATGGTTCACAGCACCATTTGTATTGATACCTAAGTGTGTAAAAAGATAGTCAAATGCAAACTCTTGAGTATCAAAATGTGCAACAACATCAGAATCAAATTGAGTGAGAATATTCCATTTAGAATCCTCAAGATCTCTGATGTCATTTCCGTAAAAAGTTGAAATAATGTCGCTTTCTTTTTTGGTTCGCAATTTTGCCATTAGGTTGCGATAAACTAATTTTGGTTGCTCATCTGTAGACCAGCCAGCTCTACAAGAATGACTTCCATTATCAATAACTATGCAAGCATTTGAATTATTTTGATCCTCATACTTCCATATTGGATCAGACTGAAACTCATGGTAACAAAATTCAAACTTTTTAACCATATTTCATTAAAACTGAAGAAAAAAAAATTCAATACAACAATTACAACTTAACTCAAATTTTGAATAAAATAAATGAACATTTTAGCTAATAAACTAATATATTCAACTTATACTTAAATATACTTAAATATAATAAAAATAGAAATCAGTTTTAAAATTCACGTCACATATCTTTAACTTTGGATAACCATTAAAAATAGTTATTCATTAAAGATTGTAACAGTACGACAATATTTAATAAATAATTTTTGATAAATTCTAATAACTAAATTTATTATTTGCCTAGGAGTTTAATTTTATATATTTTTAAAAAATAAGTTAGCATAATATTTTATTTTTTTAACTTAATATAGTATACAGAACACATACAAATTTCGTTTTAACATTTGTGTTTTATCTGAAATTAATAAAATAAAAGAAAAGAAAATATATAAAATGTGAGATATTATTTATGGTCTGTTATGATAGGTAAACAATATGGCATTAATCTAATGCCATAATGTAAAAAAAATCAATGGATAAGTCAACTACACCTTTTACTAAAAATCTTTGAATTTTTAATGGAATTTTTAATAACAATTATAATTATATGAAAAACCTGACCGCCGATTTTAACTACTAAATGGTACTACACGGTCCGAACAGACATATAACTATATAGTTACATATCAATAATAATTTCAATATAGCTATATTAAAATTATTATTGCCGCGATACTTGTAAGAGAAGCCTACCCATTTTTAATCGAGGAGAACAAAAAAAAAAATTTAATTTTATACTACCTTTTTCACTATTAAGTTTACTCCGCTTTCTTTTGCAATAAAAGTATTTAAAAAAACCGTAAAATACTTCTTTTTTAAAATGTTAAAAAACGATAGTGTAATGCAATAAAATCTCCCTCCCTCCCTCCCTCCCTCTCTCTCTCTCTCTCTCTCTCTCTCTCTCTCTCTATATATATATATATATATATATATATATATATATATATATATATATATATATATATATATATATATATATATATATATATATATATATATATATATATATATATATATATATATATATATATCTGTGTGTGTGTGTGTGTTCAATATTCTTAAAGAACATATCAATAAAAAATTATAATTATATGTTAAGTACAACTATATTTTTATAGTCTTTAAATTAAATTTAGCTCATAGTAAAAAATAAACTCAAAATAAGCTCAGTATAAAAAATCAAACATAACAAGCAGCATAATAAATAAAATTGATAAGAAAAAATAAAGTGTTTTTTTTGTGTGAAATAAACAATTTTTGATATTATTTGAGAAAGGTAAGAGTCATCTTGATAATACACATAAACGAGTCAGTTCACTTTGTAGTTGATATATATTTAATTTAATTTGTAGTCTTAGAAGAATTCAGAGTATCTCTTTAGATTCAGTATCAGATTTTTTAACTTTTTTACGGCAATCATAAACCGTTGAATACAAAATCAAAAACAAAAAACCCGCTAAAAATTACAACATACTGTGTAGTGGGATCTTAACGTCGCTAAGACACTCTTGATGGCAACCAAAGAAAAAACAAAATATCAGCTAATCTCCGGTGTCAAAAAAAGATAAAAGGAATTTATTTTTGTGTCTGCATTTTGAAATCAACTCATTTCGTTTATTTAATAAGTTATCACCTTTATATGTTAAAATGAGGAATTTTTCGAATAAGCAAAGATAGCAAATTTTTGACGAGGCGTTATAAGTATTGCAACGTTTTACAATTTTCCACTTAATTAAGGGTGTAAACATTTTGTCTTTTATGTCCCAAATTTCTTTAGGCAACTCGGTATCATTTTAATATATGTTAATGTTAAAAGATTTTAGGTGGTTCGCATACTGAGATTTGAGTGGAGTTTCACATAAGCTAAAATATACTTTTTCTTTGTAGTCAGGTTTATTTGACGACACAGTGGCTTGATAAACGATGTTTTTTGTCAAGCACTGATTGTTCATGGGACAGATGGATTTGTTGACACAATTGCATGTTTTTTCCTCATCTTTATCTTGGCTATATAATATCCTGTGGTTGTGCGAATTAATGATGGACTTGATATTTGGCGTACATAAGTAGCTTATTTTAATGGTATTTCGATTAAATATCTTACGAAGTTTGTGACCAACCGGAAAATGTAGGTGGGTTGTACCAGATTATGTTTCGCTTGTGATTTTTGAATTGGATCGGCTTTTTATTTGAATGGTAAGCGAATTTGCTGGTAAAACCTGATTTAGATAATGCATCTTGATAAAGATATTCCATCTGCCCTAATATAATTTCATAAGAGCACTACCAGAAGAGGGGTATTGACTCCAATTGTTATTGCTAGTGTAAGTTTAACGAAATTTTTTTTTTTATATAATTTTATAATGCTTCATGATATTTATTTTTTTAGTGTTATGTTATTAAGATAGATGAATCTAATTTCACAAATTTTTAGGCTGAAGATAATATTTCTTCTCCTGGGCCGCAACTTATTTTAGGAGAAAATCTAACATTTGTAGACAAAGGAAAAGTAATTGCAATGGGTCATTGATTCACTACACGTGCTTCAACTTATCGCTTATTATTATATTATGGACCTATCGTACCCGAGATCGTTGGGAAAAGTTTTAGGTCTGTTGCAGCATTATGTTTTACAACTACCGTTTGCTTGTACAAATAAGCTTTGGCTAAAAAAATGTCTTGTGAAAAGTGCTGTTGTTTCTTCGTATTTTGAATCTGTTAAACTTTTAGCTTAGAATAAAAACAATGAAACAGTTCAAAATTAAATTTATATATTTGCAGAGCTGGAGACTCGAGTCAACCGACTCGAACTCGAGTCCGACTTAAGTTACACCAGTGACTCGACTCGAGACTCGACTTGGATTTTACCCTGAGACTTGCGACTTGACTCGAGACTTGCTAATTTCGGCTTAGCGACTTTAAAATTATTATTTTCCGTCTCTTCAAAAATGGAATTTATCTTCTATTTTAATTCAACTGTTTTTTAACTATTTTTTATTTTCGAATGTTTTTATTTTAACTTACGTTTAACTGGTTTGTAGTCTAAGCGAGATCCGAAGAAAAATATCGCATTTAGGCTCTTTCGTTTTCAAAAATTCCAACTTTTTTGTGTGCGTTCTGATTGGTTCGATTTTTCTTTAACTCATGAAATTTATTGTTTATAAATGTTCGGTGATTTTAATTTCTTATTTAAATTTTTTTTTAATTCTTTCTTTTTCTTTCCTTAACAATCTTCATTTTTCTCTTATTTATTTTTACTTTTAAAATTATCTTTTATTATTATTATTTTTTCATGTAATTTATTTATAAAATTCATTATAAAAAAGCGTCAGCCATTCCGGAAGTCTTTGCACATTATGACTCCTTAGCTATTTTATTACAGATGGTTTATTTTACTTTTAAATCTACTTTAGTAAATAAATTAAAATTATAACTATTATCATGCTGTATTTTATAATTGTAAGGTGACTGTTTCAATGCAGCTACCAGAACCATCGTAAGGTTCCCCCATGCCCCTCTTGTAAGAGGATTTTCGTGGTTTTTATGACAGGTTTTAGAAGGGGCCTCCGAACTTCAAGCCGCGTCACTGATAGCCACCACATGCACGGGAATCTTTTATTGTAATATGACTTGATTTGAGACTTGACTTGACATGTCTCTATATGACTTGAGACTTGACTTGAGAGTTGACCTCAGTGACTTGAGACTTGACTTGAGACTTGCTCCAAAGCGTATACTTGATGTATACTTGATGATGGTTTTTAAACAAATAAAGTGTAATTGTTATTATTATTATTTTTTTTTATTTATTTAAATAAAGTGTGCCACCTAATAATTATTTGTCAATATAATGTCAATATGTGACAATATATTGACAATATGTCGCATATATGCGACATTTTTTTTGAAGTTAAGTATGACGTGACATTTATGTTTTTTATTTGTCACGGGACATCAAAACACTATAGTGTCGCATGTCACCAAGCCCGATTTAACGCGCCAAATTTAATTTCTCTAAATGTGGCGCGAAAAATTGGGCCTGGTGACATGCGACACGAAAATGTTTTAGATGTCCTGTGACAAATTAAAAATTTAAATGTCACGCCATACTTATTTTGAAAAAGTCGCGTGACTAATTTACTTATGAATGTCACGCCATACTTATTAGCTAAAAGTCACGTGAACTTTAATTATAAATGCCACGCCAAACTTAGTATCTAAAAGTCGCGTGACAATTTTAATTCTTAATGTCGCGCGTTAAATCGGGCTTCGTAACATGGCAGTTTTATTAGACAATTCGCGAGGTTAGAATTATTTTGTTATATCTCCACATTTTTTCGTTTCGAGATAAAACGATTTAAAAAATAAAAACTTTAGGAGACGGCATATAAAAAGATTTTTATTACTTATGTTTTCTCCGAAACTTTTTTGATTTTAACTTAGGTTTTAATATAGTAGAAAAACATTATTTTGAGGTACATTACACAATTAATAACTCATTTTTTTCAAAAAGTGGAGATAGAACAAAATAATTCTAACCTCGCGAATTTGGCATGACATTTTTTAAAGTGTATGAAAACATTTATGATTTGATTAATACAAACAAACATCCCTACTATACTTTTAACCATAATTTGACTTAATTGATTGCACTGTTATTGGAAATAAATATGTTTTTGCAAAGTTACCATTTTGTTCCAATCAAGGCAACTGGTTCCCTAAATTGAAGCAATTGATTCCTTCATCAGAACAGGTTATTTTTTTAAAAGAAAAAATCCACTAAAATCAACAAAAATTTGTAAAAAATGATATTCATCTTTACAGTAAAAATTTAAATTATTTAAATTAGTTAATTCATAACTTATTATAGGATGAGTATTACCCTGATAAATTTAAAGTCTACAAACAAAAAATTGTATAAATTTTCAACTGTTATGACGTTCACTAAATTTATTGATTAAAAATCACTAAATAAAGTA